GCCTGTGTGCACAGCATCTCTGAGGAGCGCTTGTTGCATACTGACTTGTGCTGGCTCTGTGGCGAGTGGTTCTAGTCTGTTTAATACCCGCAGGAACTTCATGTTAATTCACAATAAATGCTCTCTCTCATTTACTGAAGCTCAGAGGTTAAATGAGTCATTCAAAGTCACCCAGAAATATTTCAACTCAGCCTGAGAGATGTAGCTGATGGCAAAGTGTTTCTCTAGCATGTGCAAGCTCCCATCGTCTATCCCCAGCACCACACACACACACACACACACACACACAGAGTGCATTAAAAGTATTTCAACTGAGGCCTGATGCCACCATTCCTCACTACACATTCCCTATGCCCACAACATATAGAGGTTTTGGGTTTTTTGAGACACAGTTTCTCTGTGTAGCCCTGGCTGTCTTGGAACTTACTCTGTAGACCAGGTTGGCCTCAAACTCAGAGGTCTGCCTGAAGAGTGCTGGGATTAAAAGCGTGCGCCACCACCAGCTGTCTTGACATAGAGTTTTAAGGGATCACCTGACTTAGGTCACTCAGGAGAAGGGAAATCCTGTGGATCCCTTCATATGACAGTCATATGCCAACTCACAAGCTGTACAGCTGGGCTGTGTTTACAATTCCTCAGCTTCCAGGACTGGCTTGTTGACTCTTAATCCTTTCTTCATTTTTCCTTGAGTGAATGCCCCTTCCTGAAGCAGCAAGTCAACCCATCCAACCTTGGGAGGGCCAATGAGCGGAAGTGGAAATCTGGCTTCACCCTTCAGTGCCAGCCTTTTCACTGTTATTATTTAACAGGAGATCTTGTTACATAACTAGGCTGGCATGAAACTCACTGTGTAACACAGGCTGGCCGTGAACTCATAGCAATCCTCCTGCCTCAGCCTCCCAAGGGCTGAAATTATAGGCATGCTCCACCACACCCCACTTAGTGCTCGCCTTTATCCAGGGAACAGGTGTCACCTCATAGGCCCACTTCTCCTCCCCGGGGCCCCGTACTGAATGGTTCCTGGCAGCAGCCAGTGAGAAGAGCCTGCCAGCTGCTCTTCTCCCGACTCCAGGGCAACCTGCCTCTCATTCTCTGCTCTATTCCCATCTCTCCCAGAATCCAGGCCACCAGATGGCCTGAGCAGGCTGTGTTTATTTGGAGCCATAAAAATGTGAAGCTTCCTTTTCCTTCAACCCGTGGGTCAGGCACAGGTTGGAGTCACAGCTCGGAGCAAAGATACCTTGGCAATGCTCTGATTTCATTATTCGTAATCCATAACCTGAATGTCTGGGTTTGCTACCCTGAGCAGCTTATTCTGGTCACTATGGAAACGTCTCTGCTCCCACTGAGGTTCTGGGAATAAGTCAGACATGGAGGAACCCAGGAGACTCCTTCTAACCCAGAGCCCCAAAGGAATATGTCAGTTGCCAATTCTTAGTAGTTAGAGTTTACAGAGTGCCTAGGGGCTGGGCTGGTTTATCTCCCCAGTAATGCTGAGACAGTAAAGGCTTGTTTCAATGACAATCTCCTATTCCAATCAGCCAGTGTCCCTGGGGAATATTTAAATTGTCCCAGGGGCATATTTTTCTAGGTAATGACACTTTCTCCTAAAATCAAACTCTTCATTACAAGCTAGCCACAAGCATTACTAACAACTGCTAACATTTATTAGCCTCTGTTTTCATCTACACACAACCCCAACTAAGTAACTTAGCCAGGGATTAGACACCTTCAAACATCACTCGTTTTCCCTGGAGCCTTAGCATTGGAACTTCACCAATTCTGGGTTTCATTCCTTAACAACAATATGAAATGGCTCTGCTTAACCTGGAGTCTTCTGGATTCTTACCTACTTCTCCAGCTTGTCTTATTATCTAGAAGAAGCCACTATGCTGCTCCTTAAAACAGGGCAGGGAAGAGGGCCCTGTTTAGAAACATTTCCCCTCCAGTGATCTGCCTCCCACACTAGGCTGGGTATAAACTAAGCCATCCATCACAACTTACACATGGGCAGGGCTGACTTATAGACTGTTTTGGTTTCGGTTTTTTTCCTTTTTTTTTTTGGTTTTTCGAGACAGGGTTTCTCTGTGTAGCTTTGTGCCTTTCCTGGAACTCACTTGGTAGCCCAGGCTGGCCTCGAACTCACAGAGATCCGCCTGGCTCTGCCTCCCGAGTGCTGGGATTAAAGGCGTGCGCCACCACCGCCCGGCTGGTTTCGGTTTTTTAAGATTTGTTTATTTATTAGATATACAGTGTTCTGTCTGCGGTGGGAACAAACAAAACAAAACACCTAAGCCCTACAACTTAACTTGACTGGAACTCAACTTTCAAAAACAAATTGCCATAGAATTCATTTGATCCACATTTGTGGCTTGTCTATGGTGTGCCATGCTCTGCATGCTTGGGATATAGCAGAGAGCCTGCAATCTATCTAGGAGACAGGAAATTATGTTAGAAAATAAGACTGGGCCTTGCATGGTGGCGCCCACCTGTGATCTGAGCATCTGGGAGGTAGAGGCAGGAGGATCAGGAGTTCAGGGCCAGCCTGAGTTATATAGGAAACCTTGTCTCAGAACACAAACACAAACCAGACCTGCTCTATATAGTGAGTTCCAGGCCAGATAGGGTTACATAACTGAGACCCTGTCTCAGTACACACACACACACACTCACACTCCATACATAGACAGTACAAATCAACCAACCATTAAATTCAAAACTGTTAGTAAACTGAAAAAAACTCTGGGTCTGGTGTCCCAGGTTTTGGCCCAAAATGTAAGTAAATTGATGGCTGAAACTGCGAGGAGACAGTTCAGCCCTAGAAGGCGAGGTGTCCTGGACACCTCAGAGATACTCAGGACAAGAGCTCTCTGCCCTGAAGGTGTCCTGGACACCTGGAGCTGTTTAGCACAGCTGTGATGGCTGAACTGGAGACAGTTCAGCCTAGAGGGCGAGGTATCCCGGACACCTCAGAGCTACTCAGGACAAGAGCTCTGCCCAAAGGTGACCGGGACACGTGGAGCTGTTTAGCACAGCTCTGATGGCTGAGACTGCAAAGAAACAGCCCAACCTTGGAAAAGAAGGTTTTCTGACTTCTTGGGAGAGTCAGGCCTGGAACTGCTTTAGCAAGGAAGGGTATCCTGACTCTTCAGGAAGGTCAGGATATACCTGGTATGATGGTATGATGGTGGATCCTGCTCCTCTCCTGGAGAGCCACAATCTCTGGCTCAGTGTTACCAGCTCTTTCTCGCTCAGTCCACTATGGGACGTCCCAGAAAGGTTCTTCTGTTCAGCTGTCAATGAAGGTCTTCACCCAATACTCCTTTGAGAAAGAGGTTTAGTTGGGAAGGAGGAATCCAGGAGAGTAGCTGCCTCTACCAGGATGGAGAGAACAGCTCACCACTGACCAGGCAGGGCGGTTTATATAGGATGTCTAGGGGGCGGAGTCAACTGTGATTGGTTAGTTTATTTTCTGCTCAGGGATTGGCCAGTTTTGTGAGCAAGGGGCAGAGATGGCCCTGATTTCAGGGCCAAACTGTGTTTCTTTCACTGGCCTTTCTTGGCTTTTTGACACTACCTCTAAGGCCAGGGCACATTTCATTCACTGACTCTGATTCTAGGGACCAAGAGTGTTATTTTGGTACTAGTCTCAGAGTCAGGGCATATTTCCTGAGTTCTGGGTTTGGGGATAAAGTGTTCACTTCTCTGGCTCAGGTCCCAAACACAGGCTGTGTTTCTTTCCCTGGTCCTGGGCCCTAGGGCCAGGATTCTACTGTCCTGCTCTGTGACTGGTTGTTTTCATAAGTCAGTTGGACAGGGGCAGAAATGGCCCTGATTTCAGGGCCAAACTGTATTTCTTTCACTGGTCTTTCTTGGCTTTTTGACACTACCTCTAAGGCCAGGGCACACTTCATTCACTGACTCTGATTCTAGGGGCCAAGAGTGTTTCTTTGGTACTAGTTTCAGAGTCAGGGCATATTTCCTGAGTTCTGGGTTTGGGGATAAAGTGTTCACTTCTCTGGCTCAGGTCCCAAACACAGGCTGTGTTTCTTTCCCTGGTCCTGAGCCCTAGGGCCAGGATTCTGCTGTCCTGTTCTGTGACTGGTTGATTTCACAAGTCAGTTGGACAGGGACAGAGTTGGCTCTGATCTGAGCTAAACTGTGTTTTTCTCACTGGCTTTTTCTGAGTCATCCTTCCCTAATTCTGGGCTCCAGGGTCAGGGTGGGTTTCTCTAGCCAGCCCCTTTTCCCTACAAAAACCACACACACAAAGATTGGCTCATTATCTATCTATATGTCTGTCTGTCTGACTATCTACCCATCTATCCATCAGAACCATACTAAGAATGTGGCTCACACACTGAGAAGGGATAGGAGAGGGCAGGGATAACCCAAACTGAGCAGGTTAGATTATTTATTTTAAAATTTATTTATTTGGTTTTTCGAGACAAGGTTTCTCTGTGTATCCCTGGCTGTCCTGGAACTCACCCTGGAGACCAGGCTGACCTCAAACTCAGAGATCCGCCTGCCTCTGCCTCCGGAGTGCTAGACTTAAAGGTATGCTCCACCATGGCCCGGAAGTAGGTAAGATCTTATAGATGTGTTTGGTTAGGTTGTTGGGTCCGGATTCAAAAAGAGAAAAGTGTGTTTCTGGGAACGTGGGATCCAGGGTTTGTTTGTTCATTTATGTATTTATTTATTATTACTATTATTAGTAGTATCCTTGTTGTTGTTATGGGGCTCACTATGTAACTAGATTAGGCTAGAATCTGCCTTAGTGACGGTACTGCAAGCGAGCACCACCAAGTCAGACAGATACAGGAGTCTTTTTAAAAAGAATCTCCCGTAGATGGTCGCTGTCTGCCGGTCAACCTCTGCCAGATGCCAGCTGGGTCCCCACCACCACCACACCTACGTGGCCTGCCCAGGGCGCGAAAAACCAGGCGGAACTCAGGACGCGAGCGCAGCGCCAGCTTGCGGACCACGGGGAAGGTGCGCACCGGAAGCGGTCCTGAGAGATGAACATGGCGGCCGCCTGGGGCCTGCGCTGGGCCCTGCACCGAGCTGGAAGCTTGTTGCTCCCGCCGCCCGCGCGCTGTGCTCGCCACGCTCTGCACAGACAGGTAGACGGCACCGAATTCCAGAGCATCTACAGCCTGGACAAGCTCTACCCCGAGTCCAAGGGCGTGGATACGGCCTGGAAGGTCCCGGTGAGCCGAGAAAGGCGGGACGGAAAGGGCGGTTCCTCTCGCTGCTAGGTGACGCCAGGAAGCCGGGCGGGCGGCGTGGAACCTTTTGGTTGCTGAGGGAGGAACTGGTCGTCCTAGCAACTCAGGTGGGAGGGGTGGGGGTTCTGGGATTTTAGGGTGTGGTTGCAGCCCTCGTGCTTCGAGTAATGCAGGCCCTGGGAGAGAGCCTGCCACCTACGCATCCTTCAAAATCACCAGCTTTTCCCCGTTTGTTTTCCAGTCTTTAGGCCCACATTCTATGGGGAATGTGAATTATGGACCTTCAAAGTGGACAGTAAAAGCTGAGGTCCGCAAGTTGTAACGTTACTCGGTCTTTTTTCCCTAGTAACGTCAGGAAGCCAGAGACAAGGCTGTTCCTTCAGGATCCATATTTAGCCTGCTGTGTGTAGCTACACTGCATTGGACCAGAGCAGGAGAGAAGAGAACCTATTGAGTTGCATCCATAGGATTGAAAGAGCATCCAGTATTTTCATTCATTCACTCACACTTCATTCACCAGACTTCTCTTGAGAGCGTACAGTGAGCACTGATAATTTGGGGCAGAACATAGTAAAAACAAATCCTACAGCTGTGGAGCTGATGGTATACTAGAGGGAGACAGACAAAAATAAATCAATAAGCCCAAGTAACACTGCATATGATACTTTAGAGAAAAATAAGACCCAGAAGGAAGAAGTAAAGCCAGAGTTGCAGCTGCAGGTTTCTTATGAGTTTGTTTTGACAAAGGATCTCATGTAACCTAGGCCGGCCCCAAACTTGCTACAGAGCTAAGGGTAGTCTTGAGCTCCTGATCTTTCCACCTTCATCTCCCAAGTGTCAAGATTACTGACCTGTGGCCTATTTGTTTCTTTTGAGAAAGGCTCTTTAAAAGCCCTGGTTGGGCTCTTAATTTGTAATGATCTTCCTGCCTCTGCCTCTCAAGTGCCGAGATGATAGGCATGCACCACCAAACCCAGCTCAGAGTTGCAGTTTTAAGTAGAGTGATCCGGAAAAGCCCGGCCTGGAAGAAGTGGGGCATAGTGACCTGCATTTGTAATTCCAGCACTTGGGAGTCAGAGGCAGGAAAATCATAAGTTCAGGGCCAGCCTGAACCACGTGAGACCTTGTCAAGGAGAAGAGAACAGGAAGGCATGAAAATCCTCAAGCAGCATGATGACCAAGTGCAGCCACTTCAGGACAGTAGTATGCTGGACAAGGGTGGCTGAGCAGGCCAATCTGATGAAGGGAAGCCAAAGACGAGAGAAGTGGGCGGAGGCCAGGAATCCAATGATACGAGCTTTACAAGATAGACTGTGTATTACAGAGTGTTAGAGACAATAGCCTGAAGAATGGCAAGAGCTAGAAGGTGAGCTCAAAGATTGCAGTAACATAGGCAAGAAAGGATTCGCAGGGTGGAAGCAACAGGAGTCTTGCAGATGGTCATATCCTGGGCATACAGAAAGGAAGTCTCTAGGATTTGTTACTGGGCAGGATAAGTGAGAGCAAGCTGTGTCTGTGGGACTGTAGTTGAGCAAAGAGGTTTACTTGAACCCAAAAGTTGGGAGTCACGAACCTATATGCCATTTTCATCAGCTTAGAAGGATGAAATGTTTTAGGGAGGGAGAAAAAGGATTTCAGTGGCACATCAGAGTTTTAGCCACCAAAGAGACCCTGTAAAGGAATGTGAGGAAGAGGCATAAAGAGTCAAGAAGAAAACCTGGGCTGGGGGGTGACTTAGCAGAAAAAAATAAGTGAGCAGAAATGAGGATTCCCCTCCCCACTCAAGTTAAAGATCAAAGGAATAAAGGTATCTAAGGGGGTGTGGATGAGGATGCTTTGGGCTTAGAAGCCAGAACAGCCTCTGGGGGTGGTATTTGCTGGACCTTGTGGTCCAGAGGATTTAAGGTTGGAGGGCATTGCCGAGGAATGAAGAGCTTGAGGGAAGACAAGGCCTGATGGGAGTAACTCAGTTTGACACAAGCCCTCCAGGCAAACGAACCAGGATCTGTTCAAGGCATAGTACCTCTGGTGCCAGCTTCCCATGGCACCAGAAGGAGCAGGGTGGCCCACTAGGATTGTTGCCCCAGGTTGGCAGCAGGCAGTGGTGTTTAGTGCCCCTCATGTATGTGCTCTTTGCCTTGTCTCACCCACCCCATTCCTTTCCCCATGAGCCAGGCCACTGATAGTACCCAGCAATAGCTTAAGCCATGGCCAGGATGGCTGGAGGCATGAGTGCCATCATTCTAGAGGAGTGCTCCAGAGGTAGTGCCTGAGTCGGGGATGGTTTGATAGCATGATTTTGCTGGAGGCCTAAAAACAATAATGCATAACTTCTTAAAAGTGTTTATTGCATTTGTTTAGTGTGTGTGTGTGTGTGTGTGTGTGTGTGTATACCACAGAATGTGTATGGAAGTCAGGCCAACTCATGGGGAGTTGCTTCTCTCCATCTACCACGTAGGTACTCGGGAGTGAACTCAGATTGTCAGCCTTGACTTTTAGGGAGTGCTTTTACCCACTGAGCCATCTCTTCAGCCTAAAATATGTAACATTTGGCTTGTAGCGTTACACTTTTTTTTTTCTGTCTTGGACCAGTAGGAGTAGTCTGACAAGGGATTTTTTTTTTTTTTTTTAGGGACTTCTTTAACACTATGTATGTTATATTACAGGAGCATGCGAAACAAGCCAGCAGTGACATCCCTCTAGGTAAGTAATGTTATTGAAAATCAGTTATTTTAGGCTAGGGGGCTAACTCAATGGTAGAGTACTTGCCTAGCCTGAGATAGGCCCTGCAGTCAGTCCCAAGCACCACACACACAAAGCCATTTACCAAATTTCTCACATATTCCTTCTAGATCTCACCAGACCAGTAAAGGACAGTAGAGAGACCAACCGTGGGTGTGAAAGGAGCCCTTGCAGCATAGCTTAGAATAGTGACCAAATGATGACCTAGCCATGCATGTAGACTACACGGTCTGCCCACATGTGAAGAGCTCTTGATGTGCTTACAATTTGGAACTTTCTTGATGGTATAGGGGTTAGTGCTGTGTGAAGAAGGAAGGTACAGGGGAGTAGCAGCCAAGGGCATTGCCTCATCACAGTCTCTGGGAAAACAGGCGTGCTGCTGAGTGGACAGTGGCTGCCTCTCTTGGCCTCCTGAGCTCTCTGGAGGTCCACATGGCATTCCGTTTCAGCAGACTCAGCCGCAGCCACATGACCCACCTGTCTTACATGCAGGGGTGCTGGGCTCCACAGTGCAGCCATTCCCTGCAGTACCAGGTACCTTTGTTATTGAGTCAGAACAAGATTTAACTGGCTTTTCCAAAGGAGGAAGACCTGGGAGGTGGTCTCAAGATGGCGCACTGTCCCCTGCCACCGTGCTGTACAGGACCTCAACACCCACCCTGCTGTGGTTTACCAGCTGGTCCTCTCGCAGTTCGCCGCTTCTGTGTCTCTCCTACCCAGACACTGTCAAGGCCTTTGCAGGAGATATAGAAATGGGAGGAAGGAACCTCATCTTCCAGTTTAAAAATAAGCAAGCCGGGCAGTGGTGGCACACACCTTTAGTCCCAGCACTTGGGAGGCAGAGGTAGGCAGATCTCTGTGAGTTTGGGGACAGCCAGGACTACACAGAGAAACCCTGTCTCAAAATAAATAAACAAACAAACAAGACAGACAGAGAAGCTGTAGGACTTTGTCAAGATCATATATAGTTAGTGGCCACACTGCCTTTCAGGATGAGAGCTCCCGAACTAAAGATCAAGTTCTCATCCATCCAACACATAATTTCAACCCAGACTATGAGCTAGGCCCTGAGAACACAGTCAGAAACAATACTCTCTTGTCCCCATTGGACTGTGTAGTCTACACTGAAGGCCCCAAACTCAACATTCTCCTCCCTCAGCCTCCCAAGTGCCAGCTTTACAAGGAGTGTGCCATCCCGCCCACCTAGCCATGTCCTCTGGAGCTTCTAGCCCATCGTGATTCCATATCCATCACTCTTCGAACTACGTGACACTAAGTCTGTCCCTTAGCTTGAGTCTTCACTTTAAAACAAACAAACAAAACACAGAAGGATTTGGTAGAATGTGCTAGACTTGGGTCATAATTTTACTTCCTCCACTCTCTGGGAGGCCTTGGGAAAGTCAGTTGTCCTGATTCTAGTTTTGATATCTTTGGATGCTGTCCAGCTTTACTGGTGTGTGTGTGTGTGTGTGTGTGTGTGTGTGTAAGAGAGGTGTGTGATCATCACATTGACTAAATTAGCCCTTTACGTGTTCAGCCATGGGGAACCCTCATGTATGTGTCCTCCTGTTTTGCAGATCGATTGAGCATATCTTACTGCCGGAGTAGCGGTCCTGGGGGGCAGAATGTTAACAAAGGTACAGGCACCGCAGTGCCCCCTTTTGCTGTAACTCTAGCTGGGAGGGGGTGTGAGGGGGAAGTCCGCATTCACATTCCTGTGGAATAAAGGGGTTTTTCTGCGGCAGCTCACACACCTTCAGCTTACAATAATCCCTTTGACTCTTCTGAATGTGGTCCGATTGTCTGGTGTTCAGCTGTAGGTTGCTGAGGCTAGGATTGGCTTTTGAGGGTAAATAAAGAGAACTCACAGCATGAGCCGGCAGCCTGCTTGGATCCACAGAGGACAGGTTTCCTTTGCTCTCGTGAAACCCACCCCCTGCTCTTTTCAGAGTCCAGTAAAACTGTTAGGAGAAACCCTGGACATTTGGATACCAGAAGTCTAGTTTTGTCCCAAAGAGAGTAGCCTTGTGGGTTTGTTCCATGGCTAACTTCGACAGAGGCTAGAATGTTCCTGGCTAACTAGTTGGCTGCGCTTGGCTTCAGAACTGCCCCTGAATGCCTGGGCAGTGTGTCCTCCGAAGAGTCTCAGGATTCCTGCTCCTTCCTCCCCATCCACAGTGAACTCCAAGGCTGAAGTCAGGTTTCACTTGGCCAGTGCAGACTGGATTGCTGAGCCCGTGCGCCAGAAAATTGCTCTCAAGGTACTCATCCCTTTCTGTCCCTGTGGCTCCTTGGGGTGGGGAGAGGCTTGTGGGCCTTTGTGGTGTTTCTCATTTTCCTCCTTGGCAGCATAAAAACAAGATCAACAAGGCAGGAGAGCTGGTTCTTACCTCCGAGAGCAGTCGCTATCAGTTCCGGAATCTGGCAGAATGCCTACAGAAAATTCGAGACATGATTGCTGAGGCCAGCCAGTTGCCCAAGGAGCCATCCAAAGAGGACGCTCAGCTCCACAGACTCAGGTACAGAGGGGTGGGTGAGAGGAGGCAGGGTAGAGTCCAGGAGCTCCCAGCAGGGACAGTGGGGTGGGTGATAGGAGCAAGGTGCTGCTGACCCAGGCTTAGGCGCACATCTGGCTCTGCTGCCTGGGCTGCTCTGCTGCCCCTCAGCTTCCAGCTTTGAAAAGCACTGATTGCACATCTGGGTCTCACTGGCGTCTTTTGTTCCAGGATAGAAAACATGAATCGGGAAAGACTGCGACAGAAAAGAATAAACTCTTCCATAAAGACGAGCAGGAGGGTGACTGTGGACTGAAGTCACCACACTACCAGCAGAGACTGGGGTGTCATGCAGCTCTACAGAGAGCCGCCGTACCAGGGGAGCCTTGGCAGAACGTTCCTCAGGAGGGGAGGCTACAGGTCGCCCAGGGCAGCCCCTCAGGTGTCCACTTCATTTATTACTGGCTACAATAAACTTCTGAGCAAGCTGTGAGCCTCACCACTCGGTCAGAGCTTTGTAACAGGGCTCCTGCCTCCAGCCTAAAGCCGCCTCACGGCTTCTGTGACAGCCGTGGGGCGGCAGAGGATGGTGAGTCCATCCTCGAGCAAAGGGCTAGAAGGGCTGGGATACGCGAGCAGGCATTTGAGCTGGACCTTCAGAGACACAGAGCGACTGAACGCGGTGGGCACGAGGAAGCTGGTGGCAGGAGGTGACGAGGAATCAGGGACGCCAAGACTGGCAGGTTACCGGGGAGGAAGACATGGAAGAGCCTGGAAGTTGGTTCCGCTCCCTCCCCAGGCCAGAAGGTTGGGGTTTGTTTACTTACTTGGCAGGTGGCTCTGTGTGACACATGCACATGAGGGTTAAAGAGCAGCCCGCCAGCAGAGTCGCCTCTTCACATGGGGATGGAACGTGCTTCAGGCTGAAGGGCAGACATCTTTACCTGCCAAGCCGTCTTGCTGGCCCTGACTTTATTTATTATAATGAGGGGGAGGCATACATGAACCACAGTACATGATTAGTGGTCAGAGGACAGCTTGAGGAAGTCGGTTCTCTTCCTCCACCATGTAGGTCCCAGGAACCAGTCAGGCTCGGGCACAGCGCCTTTACCTGCTGCTGAACCATCTCACCAACCCTGCAGGTGGTTTATTATACCTTTTCCCCCCAAATGATTTACTTTTAAAAGCAAAAATAAGGGCCAGAGAGGTGGCTCAGCGCATAAAGACACTTGCCAAGACTGCCATGAATTGATCCCTGGTACCCGCATAGTGGAAGGAGAGAACTGACTCATGAGAGTTGGCTCCTGACTTCCACCAGCTTCGTGAAGCATTCATGTGCACACACAAATATAACTTAATTTCTTTTAATCAGATAAGCTCTGCCCTGGTCAAATGTCCCAGAGACAAACCAAAATTTGGATTCTATATTAGCTTGAAAATCGAGCATCATCAGTGTCAGATAGGAGCCACTTACCTACAGGAGGTAAAACACTGCTGGGCCTCAAGGACATTCTCTAAATTTGGTTTATTCTTCTGCCATCATTTTATTCTTCTCCAGGGTTCTGGCATGCAAGAGAATCCATGCCTAAAATTTAATACCTCCAAGTTGACAGGAGCTGTCCCTGGGCTGGGGTGGGGTTTTAACAATCCATTATCAACCTTGTTGCCAGTTCCCTGGGTCCATGCTGAGCCCAGTGGCTCCTTCATCACTGTCACTACAATGACCATGACTTCTGTTTCTTCCCAATCTGCACATCGCTCCAAATGCTGTCAAACCTCAGTGTCCTCAAGCATTAGCTCTAAGCATGTTGGGGTCGTGGTAGTTGTAGTCTCCACCCCCAACCCCAGCTGCAGCATTTAGTGAAGTCGCCGTTGAGAAACACACCAGGTAACTGTTAGGATTAACTACGGGGAACCATTATTCCACACAGATAAGTCATTTAAACAAACGCTTCCTGTGCTCAGTTACATAGTTAAAAATCATACTTGCCTCCTTTCAAGCTTCAGCCCTTTCCCAGAACCTCAACACCTACCATGAAGCCATTGCTAAGCCCCTGAATTAAACTATACTTCCCAGACTGCTCTGCACCTCCATTCCCCCAGGGTTTTGTTTGTTTGTTTGTTTAAGTGTCTTAACATTACACTACTAAGATTTCTCTCCTTGTCTGCCTCCCTTCCTTCCCGCCCCTCTTTTGACTGATGCCGGCCCTCTCCGTGCATTATACATTTGCAAAGAACATACATTGTGTATAAATGTTTCTGTCGTTATGAAAGGATCAGGAAGTTTTTCAGTGCTTATATTTTAATATTGTCAATATTGTGACTGATACTTAATTCTCATCCTTTCTGGATGGGAAGGAAGAAAACAGCCCGGGAGTGGGGGAGGGGGGCCGCCGGGAATTAATGCTGTGGAAACTTCCACTCGTTCCCGGTCCCCGTGTGCGGGCGACCTCAAGGTACCCCCTTGGCCCTACCCTGCACACTCGCGTCCCAGCTCGGGCTTGAGTTCGCGTCCCAAAAGCTCCCCAAGGCAACAACGAAAAAACGCATTTAAATGGAAGAATAGGCACGGGCGTGTCAGCATCCATTAGGTCGGAAAAGGCGACAGCCACGTGCTGTGGGCCCCAGTGGCCTAATGGATAAGGCACTGGCCTCCTAAGCCAGGGATTGTGGGTTCGAGTCCCACCTGGGGTAGAAATTGGTCGTTTGTCCTCCATTTTTTAGCCTTCAATATCCAGATAAATGGAGTCCACAAAAACATGCAAGACTACGAAACACGCATGCTCGGAACGGGGAGGGCCTTGATAAGCGGGGGTGCAAGGCGAACCCAGGCCATAAATGACTCTAGCCACACACGGGCCGCGGGAAAGAACCGGCCCAGAGACAGGAAGTGCACGACTCTGTCTCCAAAATTAAGACTGCACCACCCCAGGTGGGACTCGAACCCACAATCCCTGGCTTAGGAGGCCAGTGCCTTATCCATTAGGCCACTGGGGCGCGATAAAAAGCTGTGTTCACGTGGTCCGTGATAGCGCGGCGCGCTGACGTGGCCAACCCTATCCCGGAACAGAGACTGAACGCCTTGGCTCGGGCCTGTCCACCCGACACCCAGCTCTCACCAGACTCAGAGGAAAGGCGGGCGACGACGCGCTGCCAGATGGGAGAGAGCCGCGACTCGGCCGCTGGGCTCACGGGGCCGACCGGAGAGGATTCGAACTGGCCCCAAGTCAGCTGAGCTATCCGCCAAGCCGTACATCCGCCGCCGCTCAGCGGCCCGCAGCGGGGCCCCGCATGCCGCCCCTCGGGAGTTACAGATGCCAAGGCACGCCACGATCGGGCCATTGGAGCGGATCTTGTTCTTCACCAAATAATACGTTCTAGTGAAGAAGCCAGAGCAGTGAGACCGCGTGGCCTAATGGATAAGGCGTCTGACTTCGGATCAGAAGATTGAGGGTTCGAGTCCCTTCGTGGTCGAAATGTTTTCTTCCCTAGTCGGTCCTTCCAATTGAGTACTATTTAGTTCCTTGTTTTAAATGGGAAAGATTTCCAGAGACACTGCAGAACTCTGGGCATTTAGCGTTGGAGAACTTCCTGTTGTGACTCTATTATTTATTTACCTTTTAAAAGGCGGATTATAGAGCACTGCACCCAGGAAGTTCCAGTGTCCTAATGTGTAAGACCTTGTAGGCAAGCGATTTGGGGCTCAGAGTCTCATCTGATACAATTTGTTTCCTGTTTTTTTATATTTATTTTTGTGGCCAGGCAGTGGTTGCTCATTCTTTTAATCCCAGCCCTTGGGAGGCAGAGGCAGGCCGATCTCTGAGTTTGAGGCTAAAGAGTGAGTTCCAGGACAGCCAGGACTATACAGAGACCCCTTCACGAAAAACAGAAACCAAAAATTTGTGGTATGTGGTTTGCTAGGTTCAAACTTGCCGTCCACCCACCTTAACCTCCTGAGGGCTGGGATTGTAGACATGTGAGTATCCGGTTTGAGGGCTTCAATCATGCATGTATGTTAACATGTAAATGTGTAACGAGTTAATTCTTGAATGAGACAATCCACCAGGGAAAATGTCCAACTTTATCCTCTTCTGCTGCTGAGGTGGTCCAGTAAGAGTACAGCCTTTGGATGCCTCCCAGATAGGTCAGGAACCCAGAGCAATGGAGAGGTCTCGCCCCTGGCACACCCCTTGTGCTTCCCCACACAGCACTCACAACCCTTACCATCATGGAGGGGAGGGGTGGAGATCAGGTTAGGTTAAGCCCTGCCTTAACAGGGTGTCACCAGGAGTCGGGCAAAAGCATGGCTTTGAGAAGCTGGCCAAGGTCTGCGTTTGATCTGGAGTTGTTTCCTTCCTAGAGACACATCAACGCAAGGTCCTCCCTTCCTCGCTTTCTGCTTGTTCCTTTAGCAAAAGACTGGTCTCAAACTCACAGACATCCACCTGCCTCTGCCTCCCTAGTACTGGGATTAGTGCACCCTCACACCTGCCTGTTTTTTCACTTTTGGTTTCTCTGTGTAGCCCTGGCTGTCCTGGAACTCACTCTGTAGACCAACCTGGACTCAAACTCAGAACCGCCTGCCTCTGCCTCCCAAGTGCTGGGATTTAAGGCATGCACCGATGTGGCCCAGGTGTTTTGTTGTTTTTCACAGAGGTGCGACAGCAGTAATTTCTAGACTTCTGAGGCAAGAACGGTTATTCTGATAAAACAATGTCTCCTAAGGTGGATTATCCCCAAATGTAGACAGAAGGTAGCAGACCTGGATGGAGCTCACAGATGTTCACAGGTGGCTATGCCTTTAATGTTCTGAACAGCAGACTACCACACCAAGTTATCCCGAAATTATGGAACTGGCACCTCACTGGAGCTGAGTTCCAGCCCCTGCTGTTCAACTGTCATCCATTTTCTGGACTGTGCATCCGAACCCTCCCTTGGCCATGCTCTCCCTACAGAATTTAAGCTATAGCAGGTGAGATGGGGGTGCTTAGATATCTAGAAACTTCCCAGGCTATCTCTTTAATTCTCATTACAATCCTGATGCTTGTGAGAACAGTAGAATCCCAAGACAGTTAAGTCAGCAATTGTGTTGGGCACAGGTCCTAACTTCAGGGCTGTCTCCTCCAACCACCTTAACTTTTTCATTTTCCCATTTTGTGTGTGTGTGATGTAGAGAGCAGAATGCACATGTAGAGGTCAGAGACTGTCCTCACCATAGTGTGGTCACAGGCTCTGCTGTTCAAGGTTCAGCAGCCCTGAGGCCACAGTAACTGGTTCCCTACAGTCTGTCCCTTAGATGACCATTTCACAGAATAAAATGCTTCTGGTGGGGCCACCTCAGAAGAGTTCACCCACTGAAAGACGACACCCCATGCTATGTAAATGTTTTATTTTAATGTCCAGAGTTTTAGAATGAAAGGCTGGTGCTCCCTCCTGGCCTGTTTCACAGGTTCTCGATGGGCTGATGAGGCCAGTACGGGTACTTCTTCTTGTCCAGCTTGGTTTCTGGGAAGATTTCATTCAAGTCGTCAATGGTCATCTGATCAAAGGGGACTATGTTCTTTATTTTCTCCAGCTAGAAAGAGCAGACATGAGTTAGCCCCAGGAAACAGGCAAGGCCACCAAGAACAAAACAAGAATCCAAGGAGGTCACTGCCAAGGATGACAGAGACAACATGTCATAGAGGCCATGGCTCATCCTCACCTGCGCCTCATATTGCTGGATCCTGGCCTGGGATTCAGACACAAACGCAGCACAGGTCTTCATCTTTAAGAGAAAGGAGAAACTGTCCTGAAACCAAGTGACAGCCTGCCCCAAGGCGCAAGCAGCTCCAGCCTGTTCACTTCCCACTGCTATCTAAAGAAGAACACGCTGACCTAGCCTGAGTGCTTTGGGAGGGGCAAACCACAGCTTTCCCCATACCCACAAAGCAGCCAGGCAGGAAAGCAGCTTAGGATTGGTCACTGCATAGTCTCAGCAAGTCACATGACTCTAGGGCCAGGTTCCAATGTTGACCTGAGGTATTTTCAGACAAATAGATATATGAATGCTGAATGGATTGTTTTTTAAAACTGAGGTCCTGTTTTTAACAGATCTGCTGGGTGTAAAACTGACACTGAGATGCATGTGTTTACAGAACTCCCAACAGATGATGTAGTCACTGGACACACTGTTGTCACACTCACAACAGTGACTCTCCTATTAGCTCACCCCACCTCTCCCCGAGCAGCCTCTCAGCCATCCATCACTAAAGATGAACTGCATTTTCTAGAGATTTATACAGACAAGGCTTCACTGTGTAGCTCTGGCTGGCCTCCAACTCTGAGATCTACCTGCCTCTGCCCTCAGAGTGCTGCATATGAAGGTGTGCACCTCCAGGCCCAGGCTCGTTGGCTTCTTCTAACCAGCATTATCTTAGATTCATTCATGCTCCTGCATTTATTAGCGATCCTCTTGGTTCTCACAACACTCTACCCTTCAATTTAAGTCACTACCCTTCCTACTAATGACAATAGTCATTAAGAAAACTTCAGGGCTGGAGAGATGGCTCAGAGGTTAAGAGCACCAACTACTCTTCCAGAGGTCCTGAGTTCAATTCCCAGCAACCACATGGTGGCTCACAACCATCTGTAACGAGATCTGGCGCCCTCTTCTGTATACATAATAAATAAATAAATCTAAAAAAAAAAAAGAAAAGAAAAGAAAACTTCAGGATCTGATCATAGTGGTGCATGCCTATAATCCCCGTACTTGGGAGGCTAAGGCAGGAGGATCACCATGACTTTGAGGCCAACCAAGGCTACACAGTGAGACCTTACAAAACAAAACAAAAAAAACAAGACAATTTTGGAGGAAAAAAACAAAACAAACAAACAACGTGCCCACTACTTACATCCTCCTTTTCCTCACTGTCCACCAGGGCTGTGTATTTATCCTCGGGCACTGGAATCTTCAGGGCATTATACTAGAAACAAGAACAAAGCAGTCACCCTCGTACCCAGAGCCCGAAGGACTGAATGCCTCTACTCCTTACAGACCACATGATAACATCCCATCCCTTCCAATCTCTGGTACTGTGGTAGGAAGAGTTGGAAGCTCTCCCCAGCCCTGTCACTCATCGCTCAGGAAACCTCCCCACTTCTTTATCACAGTGCTCCTTCCCTCAGCACTGGCTGTTCTTCCAGAGGAACCAGATTCAATCCTCAGCACCCATAGAGCAGCTCAAAACAGTCTATAATTCTAATTCCAGGAGGTCCGATAGCCTCATCAAGCTTCTGGCACCAGCCATGTACATAGAAATACAGGCAGGCAAAAACTCCATACACATGAAATTAATTTTTTTAAAAGAAGAGAAGGAGACAGAAGGGCCATGGAGGTGAAAGAAGGAGAACATGTTAGTTTATGAAAAGGAGGCAGGTAAGGGATCTGAAGGGGAACTTAGGAGAAGAGCTGGCCCTGGCAGCCCTCTAGCTCCTGGGAACAAGGTTACCCTGGACTGCTGAACCCGGGACTGTGACTAGACAGGTTCTAAGCCCACTGCTGCAGGGCCTTTGGCCACACCCACTTTCCCACCTCCCATCCCTTAACAAGATCAAAGCTTTAGTTATCTGAAGGCTTACCTTCTTTTCAAATTCATCCACCAAGCCAGCCTTGGCCACATTGGCCCTGTAATAAGCCCAGTCAATCGCTGGTGGTTTCTCAGACACATTAGCCAACCTGCTCATATGGAAAAGTAAAGTCAGGACTATTCCACAAGCAACAGACACTACTCACACAACAATCTCCCTAGTCCTTATCACACTGGAATGTCAGCACACATTTCTCTGAAGGACCACCACAAAAATGCCCCCCCCCCAAAAGCAAGCTTACATTTACAAATCACATCCATTTCTTTACTTGGTCAGACTATTAGAAATGCCTGTGTAGTGCTGGCAAGATGCTAAGTGGGTAAAGGCACTTGTTGCTAAACCTGAGGACATGTGTTCAACCCCTGGGGCGCACATGGTGGAAGCAGAGAGCCAGCACCCACAAGCTTCCCTCTGTTGGCCTCATGTGCTCCATGGCACACAGAGTGGCAGATGTGCACTGATATACATACTAAATAAATGTAATAAATGTCAAAACATTGCTTCTAGGTGCAGGGACAAGTAGCGGGGGGGGGGGGGGGGGGGGGGGGGGGGGCGGCTCTTTCTCACAACATACTTACCTGGTATGGAGGGTCTCACTCCAGGACTTTAGGGAGTTTCCAATTGTCTTTTGGTTTCGGGGTATAATCTCCACAAAAGCTACCCAATCAATGGTTTTTAGAGCAAATTTACGCGCAGCCATCTTGGGATCCTAAAAAACAAAGCAGGTCAGATTAAACAATGCCTTTGGAGAGAACCCCTGAAGGAGAGCATTTCAGAGAAATACAAATCTTTCTAGAGACAGCTCAGCACGGTTTAAGCATTTGGTGGTCTAGTCAACAGCTAAAGGAATTAGGACTTGTGGCCCAGTTGTTAGAATGCTTGTCCAGTATGGGCAAAGCCCTGGGTTCCAGCTCCAGCACCACATAAGCTGACATGGGAGGCAGGAGGATGAAAGTTCAGGGTCATCTCTGGTTACACAGTGAGTTCAAGGCCACCCTGGGACACATGATAGCCTGCTTCAACCCTTCCTCTAGCCCGACCCTTTATTATTAGAAACCCAATTCTACTTTCTGTTCTACATGTGTCTTTGCAAACATTGCTAAAGGACATTCATACACTATACAAAAGTTAAATAAATAACAATTGTGCCTTATCCACTGATTTCCCACCATACAGAAATTTGACAGAGAAAATTTGACAAAGCTTCAAAAAGAGAAGACAAAATTTCCTCATCTGCAAATTGGGAGAAAGAGCTGTTAAAAATACCAAGTGAAACTTTAGGCATCAATTTGCCCTAGTTTCATACAGACTTCTGGGGACTCTCAACCCCTGCCCTACACTGGAACCTTCATAGTCGCGTCATATTGTCCACAGCACACATGCCTTGCATTTTCAGAGGCATTTTTACACACACGACAGCGAGAGAAGAAAGTGACTGCAGCTGTCTTTAAACCAAAACAAGACAAAATACAGGAAATCACTACGATCAGGTTTGTAAAGTGGAAACCGTTTGTACAAGCTGAGTGGATTCCAGGCGACGTGGAGGATACCTTCCTAAAGATCAAAGTTGTCAAATGCCAGTGCCCTCTTCCTTCCTTCCCTCCCTTCTAGAACAGCTTACGTCTCTAGGAGGGGAGAGGCTAAGGGAACTGTCAGGTGAATAAAGATGCCAAAAATGCACTTTCCTAGGCACGAGGGGAACGCAGGAGTCACAGACGTTGTGTTGTCTGGTTAATCTCTAGCGCCTGGAACAGGTCATGAGAATAAGAAATGACCAGTGGTTATTCAACCAACCGGTAGACGAACCTGAGACACCTCAGTATTACCCACACTGGACTCCTACAACCTCCATAAGGAGGGGAGGACGCAGCGCTGCAACCTACGAGGTGTGCTGTCCCCTGAGAAAGCTATCACTACGGCTACGTGATGGTTCCCCGACCCATACACTGCACTCCTGAGTTCGCCACAGTGTGAGACACGGTTTGTGGCAACATCTGAATCAATGGTGATTGGCCAAACCATAGCCAGGCCCCAGCCTTCGACCCGCGGCGAAGGTGAGCAGGGCGAAGCAGTGACCTCGGGAGCTCGGCCAGCGGGGCAGCTTGAAGGCACGACGTCCTCCGCGGAGGTGGAACGAGCGTCAAAGCGAGGTCTAGAGCATCTAATGCAGAAGAGCCCGTGGAGGCTGGACTCAGTACCTCGAACCCCACTCACCTTCACCGACCCCGGCGGACCGCTGTCTCCAGCAGTAAAGAACGGAAGTGGGTCGCCGGAAGTTCTCCCTTCGGCTAATCCGAAAGCGCAATGGACGGGCCTTGTTTTACATGTCAACCAATGAACATAGAGCCTGCCTCAGGAAGTCCCGCCCTCAAAGGCGGGCACAGCGCCTGCGCAGTCGGAGTCTCTGTTGGTTGGGGGCGCTCCCGTCCCTCACCCCCTGCCCCACCCCCGCCGATGGGCCGGCCCGGCTCTCCCTGCCGAGGAATGGGCCGGCCCGGTGGCGGGCGGGCAGCGGCGGCCCAAGATGGCGGAACTGCAGCTGGACCCGGCGATGGCGGGGCTGGGAGGGGGTGGCGGGAGTGCGGTGGGCGACGGGGGCAGCTCGGGCCGCGGACCCCCCAGCCCTCGGCCGGCCGGCCCCACGCCCCGCGGACACGGCCGCCAGCCCGCCGCCGTCGCGCAGCCATTGGAACCGGGGCCCGGACCTCCGGAGCGGGCGGGGGGCGGCGGGGCGGCCCGCTGGGTCCGGCTCAACGTGGGCGGCACCTACTTCGTGACCACCAGACAGACCCTAGGCCGGGAGCCCAAGTCCTTCCTCTGCCGCCTGTGCTGCCAGGAGGACCCGGAGCTGGACTCGGACAAGGTGCGCCCCGCCCTCGGGCGCGCCCCCGGGCTGTGGGACCCCTTCTAGGCTAGCGTTCCGATCTCTGGGACGCTTTTTCCTCCAGCAGGCCCTGCAAACCCGGACTTCAGTCCACTTTCGCCCCCCGGGTTAGCACCTGCGGCCTCGGAAGGATCTCCCCTCCCCATTCCTCCCCATCTTTAGGCACACTCCGGCTTCCCTCCGCACCCCGCCCTTTTCTCAGCTGCTCCTTCCAGGAGCTGTCCGCCTGCACCCACGGGACCCCCCTGTGTACTCTTCTGACATTCTCTGCCCCCCCCCCCCGAGGATCCCACCTTCTTAGATCTGCATGAGTTTTTCCCTGGCTCCGGTACAGCCGGTGCCAGGTGCATTCAGAACTGGGTCAGGGTGAACGACCACATCTTTGTCACTTTAGTAAACTTGGGGTTTAACGATAGATAGCTTCCACCGCTGAAGGCTGCTGGAGGTGCTCTTGGTGGTGTTGCACGGCTTCCCTAAAATCCTGGTCCCAGAACTTGTATGGGGTAACAATCGCCGTTTCGGTACATTTTTGGAAGTAAATGCATTCCTTGGGAAGATGATTGCATTTGCCCATGCAAATCTAGGCTGACCAGTTAGGACTCAGCAAATATGTAGACTGAGAAATAAATACCGTTAGACAAGGTGGAGGACCGCTGACCAAAGGGTTGAGGGGTGGCAAGACGTGTCATTCGTTTCCAATTTGAACTGTAACTTTTGTAGGTTCATCTTTGATTCTCAGATGCATTGGCTGTAGCTTACATCGCCTTCCATGCCATAAAGCACTCCTGTGGTTAACAGTTAGACTTGCATAAACACTTAGCAATTTCATCTGTTCTCCTCTGATACCAAATTGATGGGAACCTAACCCATCCTGACTAAAGAGATTCTAGAACTCCTGTTTATAGGGAGTTATTTTTATATACCCTAAATCTTCCTTCTGGCCACAAAGCCAGTTTCTTGTTTCTTTTACTGTAAAGATGAGTAGAATTAAAGCTGCCCAGAGCCAAGTCCTGGCAGTACCACACTTCCTCTGGGCACAGAGCTAGGGTGTGTAAGATTACAGCTGGCAGTGTGGACTCCCACTGATGTTGGCCTTGGGCTCAGGAGAGTTGCCAATAGAACGGAGGTTTTCTTAGAATTAGGAATGTAGTCCAGGGGCAATGAAGAATCAAAATGTTCAACACAGAGCTATGGTATTTCCTTCATCTCCTGGTATCCTCCAGAAGAATGTTACCCAGTAAATAAAGGCCTAGCAATGGGGATGACTGTGCATCTATGACATCTGACCTGAAATTATCTTAAATCCAGCCTTCTGGCCAATAGTTTAAGATAAGCAAACTGGGCCGGGTGGTGGGGCACACCTTTAGTCCCAGCACTCAGGAGGCAGAGCCAGGCGGATCTCTGTGAGTTCGAGGCCAGCCTGGTCTACAGAGCAAGATCCAGGACAGGCACCAAAACTACACAGAGAAACCCTGTCTTGGCGGGGGAGGGGGGAAGATAAGCAAACTGTGTAGCAAAACAGGCCTCACTTAAACAAACAAACAAAAAAAAGCTGGGATTAAAGGATGTACCACCACACCTGACATCTGTTTTTTTAGCATAGAGTGAATCTGTTGCCTGAGTACACTGACAGATTGGGGGAAATATAATTTAGAAAATATTCCTGAAAGGTTATGTTTGGTCGACAGGACGAGACTGGAGCATATCTGATTGACCGAGACCCCACCTACTTTGGTCCTATCCTAAACTACCTCCGACATGGAAAGCTCATCATTACCAAGGAGTTGGCAGAAGAAGGTAAGGACACCTCACTGAGTGGTTTCGAACTTCCAGGCCACCAGAGCTGCCTCGCAGGCTTGAGTTTGTTTGGGGTCCTCACTGAACTTGTGCAGATGTAACACTCCATCCGAGAAGTAAGCAGGAAGCCTCCAGCTCCCGGGGCTTGTCCTGAGAGCCTTGAAGGAGCTGCCCTGGGCTCCGTTCAGCTGCCGTAGTGGAAGCTGGGTTGCTTTGCTTTGCAGATTACTTCGGGCTTTTGAACCTGCAGAACTGATTTTATTTGCTGGCAGTGAATGTCCGTAGCCTGAAGCACCACATCTCTGGCATTCAGTTATTTTTATTTCCCCATTTTCCTTTGGATTTGCAAAAATAATATTAATAAAGGTCTGACCTCATTTCTTTAAGACTCTGGTCTCATGCTTCCCTGTGAAGCTGTTCTGACCTAATTCACTCTGCAGCTCATTGTCAGCTGTGTCTCTGGCTGCCTTGTCGATGGGCTTTGTAGGGCATCTGGATTGTAAGTGGGTCTAGTCCTCCATGTAAAAGGCCTACCTGGTCTCTGGAGGCATTCAGTGGAAATTTGGGGCCCTTTCCTAAATCCCAGACCCCTGATCTAAAACCTCTGGATAGGAAAGCTTATAATGGCAAGCCACTTCATTAATGAGGATGGCCAGTAAAGAGAGGAATTGTGAATTCTTGCTCATTCTCTTTCTCTCTGAAGCCTTTAAAAAAAAAATTCAAGCCGGTAGGTAGTGTCCCACGCCTTTAATCCCAGCACTCAGGAGGCAGAGGCAGGTAGATCTGAGTTTGAGGCCAGCCTGGTCTACAAGAGTGAGTCCCAGGACAGCCAGGCTACACAGAAACCCTGTCTCAAAAAACCAAAAAAAAAAAAAATCATTTCGGATTCATACTTGAGTAATAGGAAACGTATAAGGAAATTTAATATTGATCATTTATCTGCATCTTCTTTCCAGTTTGTCCATTGTTGTGATAATGTTCATTAGAACATTTTTTCCCTAGGGCAGGATCATACATCCCATAATTGTTCCAAGATCTTTGATTTTGTTTACCGTGAGAGAAGTCATGATTGCTGTCCCCCCCCACACACAAACACACACACGCCTTTTTTTGTCAGCTGGGGATCAAACTTTGCTAGGCAAGCATTCTGCCACTGACCACCCCTGATGGCCTTTTAATTTTGTTCAGCTAATAATTACCCTATTAAACTCTTAAGTTTATATACCTGCACCTGTCCACCAGCCCTTTCTAGGGAGAACAGGTAAATACTGCAAGGTCAGGAGTTATCCACTGTGGCAGGTTCCAAGAACTCGGGGACATGTGGATAGCTAACACACAGGTGCCAAGAGGAAGCAGGGCGGATAAGACGGGAAGCAAGAAAACCCCTGTGTTTTATTTGCTTTAGTGTGGGAAAGGTTATGGGCATGCCCTATATGGCAGAGTTAAATTTCTTAGGATGAAAGGGAGATGGGATTTCTGTTTGAAAAATGCAGTTCTTTTTTTTTTCTTTTTCTTTTCTTTCTTTTTTGTTTTTGTTGTTGTTGTTGTTTGAGACAGGGTTTCTCTGTGTAGTCCTGGCTGTCCTGGAACTCCCTTTGTAGACCAGGCTGGCCTTGAACTCACAGATCTGCCTGCCTCTGCCTCCTTAGTGGTGGGATTAAAGGTGTACGTCACCGCCACTGCCACGGGCAGTTCTTTGCAAGCGCTGTTTTCGTGGTGAGCTCACACATCTCTGACTTCGGTCTGGTCCTTGTTCTAGGTGTGCTGGAGGAAGCAGAGTTTTACAATATCGCATCTCTCGTGCGGCTGGTTAAGGAAAGGATACGAGACAATGAGAACAGAACTTCACAAGTAAGGTGTCTGGAACTGCTAAGGGCAAACCTCTCCAGTGGTCTCTCTCTCTGTGTGATGTGAAAAGGGTGCCTTTCTCCTCAGAGCTGGAGGGCCAAAATGGCTCAGAGTGAGGACGCTGAGGAGAAATAACAGAACACAGAACAGCCCCACCCCTTAGGATAGAGTGTTACTGCTCACCATGTACTGGTGGGAAAACCTCAAGCCACTCTACATCCAGCGCCTGTTCTCCAGGTTGTAGCCAGCCTGGTCTCGCACTCTCCTGCCTCAGCTTCCCTAGTACTGGAATTCCTGGCCCAGCAAAGCCTGTCTTTGCTGATGGAGTATCTGCCTCCCACAGTATGAAAACCCATAGTCTCACGTGCTCCTCTTCTGTACTAGGACCACCTTTAAGCTCTGATCACCTCACATCAGGTTCTGCAAGCCACTTGAAAAACATGTGTGAATCGTGCTACTAAGAAGATGATATCCAAGCCGGGCGGTGGTGGCGCACGCCTTTAATCCCAGCACTCGGGAGGCAGAGCCAGGCGGATCTCTGTGAGTTCGAGGCCAGCCTGGACTACCAAGTGAGTTCCAGGAAAGGCGCAAATCTACACAGAGAAACCCTGTCTCGAAAAACCAAAAAAAAAAAAAAAAAGATGATATCCAGCCTCTTCTTATCACAGTATCTGGATTTTTATATTAACTCAGTAGATGTCATAACAGAAATGCCTCCTGTTGGGGGAGGGCAGATGGTAGGGCAGACGTAGCCTGCTTCCCATGTCATTCATCACGTGGGTGAGCAGCTTCTGTAGTGTGTGAAGCCCTCGCGATTCCGTAACAGGAGAAGGTCCTGTGGACTCTCCCTTTCTGTGTGTAGGAAACAGCGGCTCCAGATTCGCAGGTCCAGGCAGGCTGTGCTCCTCCGTGGCCACCTGTCTGAATGGCATGCTGCTGCTTCTTCTACAACCTTATTCCAGCGGTGGCTCTTTTTTCCTTACTCTGTCACAGCCTTGGCTGTCACTACTAAAGAAAAGCCCACCAGGGTTGCTGAACCACTTTTCCCCAGGCATTTACAAAGATAGACTTCTGGCCTATGCTTAGAAGACTTCTTGTTGATGTTTACTGGTAGATTTATACTTGGTAGACATCAAACTGTGTTCTCTAGTCTCTGCCATCCTACATTTCCATCTTTTGCTTTGTAGATATTTAATAAATAGATGTTTCAGAAGTCTAGCTTTATCCCCGGTTTCCCACATTCTAAAATAAACTTGATTGCTTAGTAGAAATTTTGATGGTACCCTGAATTGCATAATCTGAAACCATCCAAATCATGTTCTGCATTCTTTGCCATTAGTTGATTCCCTGAGAGCATCCCAAGATTTCTTTTTGATGGCAGCAATTAACTTAATTAGTCCTCCAGATTCTGAAGGCTTGAGGACTCATACCCTGTTGGTAGCCTTTTTGTTCCAGGAATGTCAAGACCTTTTGATGTTGACTGATCTTTCTTCTGTCCTTTTTTTGTAGTGACTCTGAGAGATGGGTTGATAGTCAAAGACTCCGTCTTCCTGTGTCCTCATAGATTTCCAGATATACCTCCTTGAATGTGTGCACTGTCTGTTGTGCATGGCAGGCATTCAGGCAGAACCTAAGATGTGGAGGCCCTAAGCCCCCTTTTGCTGTAGCCTCTTGTCTCTTTTAGTGGCTGACAAGTTTTAAGTACTTTTCTGTTCCGTATGTGTGTGTGTGTGTGTGTGTGTGTGTGTGTGTGTGTGTGTGTGTGTGATTAGTCTTGGTTCTTTTTGGAGCACTGGTGGGTTGACTCTTAAAGAGAAAAAAGGGGGTTAATGGCAGCTTAGATAGTAGGGACTTTGGCTACTCTGGCCAATATCACAGATCTTTTGGGATGCTCTGAATTTTGTAATATAAACCTGATTGTTTTTAAAATGTGTGGGTGAACATATGGAAAGAACCAAAGGGAATTGTCAGGGGATTTGTCTGTATTTTCAAAAAATGTTCCCTCTTAGAACTGTATAGTGATTGTTCTTTAGTTTATTGTCATTGTGTCTTTGTTTTGTTTTGTTTTTGTTTTTGTTTTTCAAGACGGGGTTTCTCTGTGTATCTCTGGCTATCCTGGAACTCACTCTGTAGACCAGGCTGGCCTCGAACTCAGAGGTCCCCCTGCCTCTGCCTCCTGAGTGCTGGGATTAAAGGTTTGCATCAGCACCGCCAGCCTTATTGTTTTATCTTTTAAGGTGCCTGGCATGGATCCCAGGAGCTCACAAATACTAGACGGTGACTCTGCTGCTGAGCCACATCCCCAGCCCCAAAACCCCCTTTTTTGTTTCTCGGTGTGTTGACACACAGCCTCTTTGTGCGGTCCCAGCTGGCCTGAGCTCAGTCCTCCTGCTTTAACCTGAGTGCTAGGATTACAAATGTGTCCACGCCCACCACAGCTACTCAGGGAATCCTAAGGGGCTGGGAAGCTCGCCAGGAGTGCAGGCAACAAATAAATGTTTTTTGTTTTGTTTTCTATAATCCCACACCTCTGTAACAGGAATGCACTGTTAAACACCGACGGCTTCCTGGTCAAGTCAGCAAGGGGGAAGCTAATGAGTATTTGTACAATATGTGTTTTCTTCTTGATACGATAATAGGTTAATATGCAATTTCCCATTGCCAGGTGGCAGACCATAATCCCAACACATGGGAAACTGAGCCAGGGGTAAAATCAGGACTTTGAGACCAGGTTGGAATAAATAGTGAATTCCAGGACATCTAGGACAAACTTGCAAGGCGTGGTGGCACATGCCATTATCCCAGCACTGGGGAGGCAAAGGAAGATGGATCTGAGTTCAGGACCAGTCTGCTATACGTAATGAATTCCAGGACAGCCAGGACTAAATAATGAGACCCTTTCTCCAAAAGGAAAAAGAGTGAGCCTGAACAGATGGCTAAGAGTGCATGCTGGTCTGGCAGAGGACTGGAGTTCAGTTCCCAGCACCTGTGTTGGGTGACTCACAACCACCTGTAACTTCAGCTCCAAGGGATTCCACATCTTCCTTTGGCTTCCATGGGCATCCAGAAACAAATGGCATACACGTTCATACACATAAATAAAAAATTTTTTATTTCAAAAAGGTCATTCCCATAATCATTTCTATCCAGTCTAGACCATCACAATATGGTATGTATCTTAGCATCAAATCACATATAAACCACTTAAAAACAACCTGACTCCTGCTCAGTGCCTGGGGAGTGGTCGCTCTAAGTGTGACGACACAGCTGCTCACACAAACTGTCCTCTGAAGTTCAGGGTCATTGTCCACATCGATTCATGCCCTTGGGCTTGCTTTCTGTTCTTATAGCTGATGGTTCTCATTGAACCCACAGTGCTGTTTGGAGAGAGAGGTACTGGGTGGTCCCAGAACCCCCAAGGCAACTGCGGGTGGTGGGGTCCTGGTGGGGCCCCTGTGTTGCTATCCTCGTCTGCCTCTTGTTGCAGGGCCCCGTGAAGCATGTGTACAGGGTCCTGCAGTGTCAAGAGGAAGAGCTCACTCAGATGGTCTCCACCATGTCTGACGGCTGGAAATTCGAACAGGTATATTTCTCAAAGAGCCACGACCCCAGCACCTCCTCCCAGGGAGCCACAACCAGCCAGTCAGTAGCCCTGGAAGTGGGAGTGGGTGAGGCAGGTGCAACCCCATTTCAAAATTGGGAAAGAGCTCCTTGGTGTGCATTACTTGCTCAACGGCATGTGATGGTTGGGAAGGGTTGGGAGGAGGACCACATTTCTTGGTTTCACATCCAGAGTTTGAACTTGACAGTGCCCGGGGTCATGGAGCTTTTTGTTACCTCGAACATTCCTTCAGAAGTGCTCTGCTGACATCAGTCTATGAGCCCTGAAGAAGGCTGCCTTCAGCAGGAACTTAGAGTTCTGGATGTGTGGGTCTCAGGTGTGCTAGAAGGGACCAGACACAGACGTGTGTCACAGTCATTTCCCAACATTCTCTCCCTTCATGTCTTTTGGCTTTGTGCTTAGAATTGAGGTTATGAAAACAAAGCCCACGAGGATCTGGATTTTACCGTTTTCTTCCATTAGATGGCAGCCTAGTTCATTTTCTGTTGCCTCGGCTCTCCAGGAAGCTGAGCTTGCACCAGGGGGTGAGAGTTTGTGTGGAGAAGACTGTCTATGTGGGGTCTCAGGCCAGCTGCACTGTCACCAGAGGCTCATTTACAGAGCACAAGCTACAGCTTGTGTGAGCACTGCTAGTTATAGCTAGAGGCAGAGATGCCTCTTTCTGCGCTGCAGAACCGGCCCCGTCACATGGGTCCCTAGTGCCCAGTCAGCTGTGGGTGGCCAAACACTGCAGGGTTTATTGTCCCAACTCTTTCCTGATAGGTAATCTTAAGCAGAGGTTATTTAAAACAATATGTGAATATTCTTTGTGAAAGTAATGGTTAATTTTAAATGTTACTTATTAGTGTTATCACGGCCCTGGCGCTTGAACCCATGGCCTCACACAGTCTAGGCGAGTGCCCTCCCAATGAGCTGCACTCTAGTCCTCACATGGAATTTTCTAATGTCTTGAAGGAGGATGAGGTCTGTTCTTATTGCCGCCAAGGTGTGGATGAGGAAGTTGGACATGGGGGCGCCCAGTCTTGCAGCAGCAGTGCCCCAACTTCAGGCTGTGCTTGTGAGACCACACTCGCTCTTTGCCAAGCTTCTCTATGTGCAGATTTCCAATTTAGAGTTAAATGCTGAATTTGTTTCTCCCAAAGGGTTAAAGTACCATGGCATGCAGCTTTTGATGGCTGCAGAGTGGTTTGCTTGGTACTTCCAGGTCTTTCTGGGTTCTGGGTTCTGGTCTCTGGTCTGGAGAAAGAGCCAGTGGGAGCAGGCAGGGCTTAAAGGAGTGCCGCCTGCAGAAACACTCATCTTACCTCCTGTTGATACGGAGTGACCATGTTGATGCTTCTGATGCCTTTCGGATAGTGTCAGGTGCTTGGGTAAGGGGACAGGATGGAACTCCATGGTGGTGATACCTAGATCGGGATCCACTTACAGGACCTTGGCTGTCCCCAAGAACTGTTACCCTTTGAGGATAAAACTACACAGTTCAGTTGGTGTGACTTGTGTGGTACTAGGGTGCTTTTTGGTTTGATTGGTTTTGGTTTTGGTTTTGGTTTTTTTGAGACAGGGTCTCACTAAATAGCCCTGGCTTCCTTGAAACTGTGAAGATCAGACTAGCCTCATACTTAAAGAGGTCTGCTTAGCTCTGCATCCTGAGTGCTGGGATTAAAGGTGTATCCCACCAAGTGCCTGGCCCAGGACTTGAGTGTTTTAAGCCCCTGTGTATATAGGTGTACAGTCACCACCCTCCTGTTTTGCCAGCTGATCAGCATTGGCTCCTCCTATAACTATGGAAATGAAGACCAGGCAGAATTCCTCTGTGTTGTCTCCAGAGAACTAAATAATTCTACCAACGGCATCGTCATAGAGCCAAGCGAAAAGGCCAAGGTAAGACATGGCTTCCCCAGGCTGTTCTCTGCCTCCTTTGTGCCCAGCCTCTCTCCAGCTTTGCCCAGGCTGCCACTGGGTTCCTTTCCCTCCTTCTCCCTCTACGGAGATTTAAACCTGCTGGATTTAAATCTGCTGGATTTAAACCAGGCATTGTAGGGCCTTGGGAGATGGCGAGCAGAGTCAAATTGGTGAGCTCTGGCTTCAGTGCAAGACCTTGTCTCCAAAAAGAAAACAAAATGAGGTGGAGAGTGATAAAGGAACATGCCCAGCTTGGACCTTGACTGCCACACAAGCATGCACACCCACCAACACACACACACACTTATACCACACACACACACATATAAAAGCAGTCAGTCGGGATTCGTAAGTCAGTCATGGGAGCTGTGCCTAGATGAGGGTAGTTTTTGCATCCTGTCAGGATGGTGAAGAAGGGGTTTTGCACTGATGGCACTTCTCAGTGTTGCTGGATGCAGTCAGGCAGTGTCTGCCTGGCTCCTCGACAGCCCATGATTTCCTTCTCCTTCCCCACTGTGCCCTACAAACACACACTCACACTTCTGAAGAGCCTGAGTGTGTGGTGACTTTAACTGCTTTCTTTTTTTTTTTTTTTTTTTTTTTTTTTTTTTTTTTTTTTGGTTTTTCGAGACAGGGTTTCTCTGTGTAGCTTTGCGCCTCTCCTGGAACTCACTTGGTAGCCCAGGCTGGCCTCGAACTCACAGAGATCCGCCTGGCTCTGCCTCCCGAGTGCTGGGATTAAAGGCGTGCGCCACCACCGCCCGGCTTTTAACTGCTTTCTTTAACTTAGAAAACTTTGATCCACCAGCACAGAACCTTCTGCTCCACAGCAACCTCCCTGTACTTGGCAAGAAAGCTCTTTGCACTCAGGCACCCAATGAGGTTGAGGCTCCGAGCCTGCCTGCCTTGCTACATGGGCTGACAACAGATTGTGAGCTGCCCACAGGGCCAGAGGAAGCAGCTGCAGGTTTTAAAAATCTTTTTAAAATCGTTATTATGAATCTAGCCTACTTCACTGTCTTCAGCTGTGTCCTGCGTCTCAGTGCCCACACCCCAAGCTGGTGCTGGAGACCCAGCCTTTCCCAGGGTGAGCACATGCTTTACTCTGAGCCTCAGCCCATCCCGCAGCTCTCTTTCCCTCAGCAGTTGCTCAGCTGACTGTCTTCCACCATCTTCCACTTTTAGATTCTTCAGGAGAGAGGCTCTCGGATGTAAACGGAGAATCTGAAGTTCCAGAACCCTGAAGGCAAGAGAGCGATCGACCAAGCAGCTGAGAAGAGAATCCTGCACCTGTACAGTAACTGAGCTACTGCAGAGCAAAGCTGCGCCTGGTCCCCGAGAAGTGGTGTCCGCTGAGACCAGAGGAGCCCCACCCGCCTCGGACGGAGACGACAGTTGGCCTCTGGCTGCACGGCCCCTTTCCAGAAACCTGCTTTTGTTTTCTAGCCAGTGTTAGGACAGACCTTCACAACAGCATCTAGGATGGGTCCCTGGCTGGAGCCTTGTGGGGAGCTGCGGGGAAAGGAGGAGGGCCTAGCTCCCTGAGAACAGTCCAAGGAAGCTAGAACAGAGGAAGGAGGCTTGTCCTGAGCTGTGCCCTGATCTAAGCCTGCGTGTGCCATGATGGATGCGGCAGCTGCCATGACCATTCTTCCCTGACCGAGGCATTCTTTGAAGTTGGTGGGATGCAGGGGATTCCAGCCTTAGCGTGTTGAGTCGAGGTTTTGGGTACAGAATGGAGTTGCCAGAGGACCCACAATCCTATGAACAGAGCCCCAGAGGCAGGAGGATGAGGTGTCCTGTGCTGTGCTTGGAGGGGACTGGTTGCTATTCCTGGTTCTGAGCACTGGCCTGTCCCCACGAGTAGCTTCACCTGGTGTCTGTCCCACAGTGGGGCCCGTGTGGCCTAGCCTCGAGCAGGAGCTTAGAGGCTGCAGCATCCTAAGCAGCGCTGGACAGACGATGGTACTAAGCGGGCGCTGTAACTGCCTCTGCATTCTGACCTGGTTGGCCCCGTCTTCCTCCCCCAGCTTCTTGAACTGGACCAAAGAGAAAGGACTTTGTGGACCCTCTGTATGGCTTGGGGTGAGGAAGGCTGTTTCTGTGGAAGCTGCCAAATGTGTCATGTTGTCATAGCTAAAAGTGGTGGTGTTTTTGTGATTGTCTATTCAACATGCACTGACTGATCGGTGATACTTGTGTCTCTCCTTGATTTCCAACTGTGGCAAAGCAGCCCTGCAGAATCATCCCCAGCTGTGTGTGTGTGTGTGTGTGTGTGTGTGTGTGTGTGTGTGTGTGTGTGTTCACATGCATGGTGGCAGTCTGTGAACTCCCTGCATTTCTGATACCACCCCCACCCCACACACACACTTTCACCTGGGCATGCAATGTTGGCAGGCAAGGATTCAGTGCTTGTGCGATGGGGTGCTGCAAAGCCTCTTGGAGCCGACAGCCTAGAGCTGACGTCGTCCTGCTTGTCTGAACTTTGGAATCTAAGTGTTTGTTCATGGAAGATGGGACCAGGGTCTCCTTTGTTTTTCCTAGACAATTAAACTGTGACATGTGGTACAAAACAGGGAATGCTCCCTCAGATTGACCCAGGCCCAGCACCCGTGGGTGCTTTCAACACCAAGATTCTCTGCTTTCATTGGGTGTGGCGGCGCACACCTTTCATCCGAGCATCTGGGAGGCAGGGGCAGGTGGATCTCTGTAAGTTCAAAGACAGCCTGGTCTACAGAGTGAGTTCCAGGACGGCCAGGGCTCCATAGTGAGACCCTATCTCAAAAAAAAAAAAATCTCTACATCCTATAGCACAGCTACTTACCAAGGGCTGGAAGGTGGAGACTTGTAGAACAGCAGCATTCTGTGCCAGCTGTCTCATCATGTGGCTGACTGCCCAGAGGGCCTCACTGTTCCCTAAGAGTCTCTTCCCTTCACCTCTGCAGCAAGCATTGCATCGAGGTGCGCCTGTCCAAGGCCCCTGCATGTCGACTAGTGTTGGCACCCCAGCCGAGCTGGCTGTGCTACTGTTGGACAGCTGTACCATGTTAGATGGCCTGCCGTCAGAAGTGGTCTCCCTTCCAGAGGGTCCCAGGCATCCACTGTTGTCTCTCTCAAAAAAAAAAGATGTGTGTATTCAGGGAAAACTAGAGGGTGGGTGATCTGCCCAGAGAGCTGGAACTTAGAAAAGGGACTTTTGACCAAGTCAGCAAGTGGTGTCAAGTTGGGAGAAGAAGCTCTTCATTTGGAGCCTCTGCTCACTCGCCCTGAGAAGCCCCCTGTCCTCAGCTCTTCTCAGGCACACCAGGTGGTCTGGTGAGACCCGGACTCTGGACAGGCTTTGGTGCCTCTAGCCCCACATTCAGCAAGGAGTAAGGAGTATGGGGAGTGTTATCCTCACTGAACATTCCAGAGAGCCCCAGCTAGTCCTGTACAAGAATACCACCTAGCGAGCATCAGGCCTAAGCCCTGAGGCAGGCATTAATGGCCCTCCTGTCCTAGAGAGCAAGTGCTGGTGGCTCCCTCTCTGTAGCCTGGGGTTATTTTAAGTCTGTGTTCTAGGCAGCAGAGGAGTCACTGCTTGCAGAGTGCCTGACCACTGCAGATAAAAGGGTCTCTGTCAGCAGGACACCTGGGACCCACATGCCACTGCTCGCCAGGACCACCAAATGGGAGTGTCTGCCTGCATTTCCCATTGTCCCAGGTCTTTTCCTTGGTGGTGATGGGACCAGCCTCCTCTCAGGTGACTTCATCTCCACAGTCATTTCTTGGCTGTCAGCAAGGTGTGGGAGGGAGTGATAAGATGCCCAGGGAGTAGGGACAAAGGGATACCACTTTTCAGCATGGCCTTTGTCCCACGCCTCTAGACCCATGCCAGTCACTGCTGAGTGCTGACCTTCGTGACTGTTCATATGTCTGAACACAGTCTGAAATGTGACTTTCCTGTCAATAAAGGTAAGAAACAAGCACTGGGTCTTGGACCATGTGTGCATTTGCTAGCTCCCGGCTGCTGTAGCCATTTCATGATCATCTGTCTCAGGGGACAGGCTTTCTGTACCTGCTCTTCAGTGCTCCTTAGTGCACTGCTCATTCCGCCTGCTCAAACTGCCGGAGGCACGCTGGGCCTTCCCCCTCCCTTTCCTGACACTGGAATGGAAAGGCCCGAGATTGCTGACAGCAGCGGCCAGAGCTGGAGGAACAGCGAGGAGCTGCTGAAGAGAAAGGAGAGCAGGTGTCCATGTCTACCAGGCAGAGGAAGGGTGATGGGCAGGTGGTGAGAACCACGTGACAGGTGTTGATCACAGGCCTGGGGTGAGGGGAACCTCTAAAGGCCTGTGGGGGCTGCAGCTGGGAAGAGATGAGCCACACAGATGAATGAACAGATAGGCAGTGTCACAGGGTCACCCCAGAGGCAGCTGGTTAGTGCAATTAGTGGGAGTGAGGAAGGGCCTGAGCGCCCCAGCTGCAGGGATGGATGCAAGCAGAGGGAAGAGGCCGGATCAGCAACATGTCAGGAGGTGCTGGGGAGGAAGGCTGGCACTGCCGTCCCAGGGCTCAGGAAAGCTGCAACTGCCACGGTGAACCAACCTGCTTCCAAAGGAGCTGTTGACATCAGAGCACGAGATGTTGCTGTTTGTCAGTGATGGGAAGCAAACAAGAACTCACTTCCCAGCACCTAGGCTGGAGGCTTACAACTCCCTGGCGTCCAACACCCTCTTCTGACCTCTGGGCACCCGCACACGTGTGTATGTGCACATACACACACACACACACACACACACACACACAAAACACACACACACATACCAAATGTACATACATATAAAAAGGTTGAAAGAGCCGGGCGGTGGTGGCGCGCACCTTTAATCCCAGCACTTGGGAGGCAGAGCCAGGCGGATCTCTGTGAGTTCGAGGCCAGCCTGGGCTACCAAGTGAGTTCCAGGAAAAGGCACAAAGCTACACAGAGAAACCCTGTCTCGAAAAACCAAAAAAAAAAAAAAAAAAAAAAAAAAAAGGTTGAAAGATACTGAACATGTGCCTACCATCTATTGGAACTCAACCATTGTTGACATCTGTCTTTGTTTTATACATACATTACTGGGGCATTTTTGTCTAAAGTAATTGTAGACCTTGTCTCACTTCAACCTTAAGTATTTCAGCCAGCATTTTTTAAGACTAAAAATATTCGCTGGACAGTGGTGTCACACGCCTTTAATCCCAATACTTGGGAGGCAGAGAATCTGTGAGTTTGAGGCCAGCCTAGTCTACGGAGCGAGATCCAGGACAGGCACCAAAACTACACAGAGAAACCATCTCAAAAACAAAACAAAACAAAAAAGAATAAAACTGTTCTTCTCCACAAATGCAGTAGCAGTATCACAGCCATAAAAACAAAAATCCCACAGTATGTGGGTCTGGGGATGCAGCTCAGTTAGACTGCTTGCCTGTTGTGCAGGAAGCCCTGGGTTTCCCAATGCAAAACTGAGCTCAGTAGCACAAGCCTACCATCCCAGCTCTTGGGAAACAGAGGCAGAAGGATTGGTAGTTCAAGTTCACTCTCAGTTACATAGGAAGTTAGAGACCAGCCTGGGATACATCAAACCCTGTCTGAAGAAACAAATTCACAACATGACCTAAATATCTAGTTGTTACTCAAATTTCCCAAATTGTCCAAACATTTAGGTGCTTTTAATGTATTTTATTTTTATGTGCATGAGTGTTTTGACTGAATGTATGTCACATGTGTGTCTGGGGCCCACAGAAGTTGGAGAAGGGCATCAGATTCCTTGGGACTGGAGTTACAGACAGTTGTGAGCTGCCATATGGGTGCTAGAAATGGAACCCAGATCATCTGGAAGAGCAGCCAGTGTTCTTAACTACTGACTGAACCATCTCTCCAGACCCATAGATGCTGCTTTTCTTTTTTAAGCCAAAATCCAATCAACATTCTCACATCAAATTCCATTTTAAATCTCTTTTTTTCTTGACATTTCATGTATTTTATGGGTGTGCAGTTACATGTACATGAGCTGTTTCTTGACTACCATCTGTGGAATCCAGCAATGTATTAAGATCATCAGGTCTGCATACTACACCTGTACTCATCATCCATCTCACAGGTCCTCATGACATAACTCTAGTCCCTTAACAGCTCTAGCCAGACATGATGGCACGTGCCTGTAATCCCTGCCCTTAGGAAAGAGAGGCAGGAAGATGAGGAGATCCAGCTCCCCTACACAGCAGATTTGAGGTCAGCCTGCGCTACAAGAGCCCATGCCACTAACTCTAAAAAATCTTAATGTTGGGGACTCTCAGATTGCACATAGTAAGGCTGAGTGTAGCTTGCTACTTGTTTGTTTGGAAAGTGTTGTTTATAGGGGAATCACTCACGCCACAGTACCCAGGGGAGGTCACAGGACCCTACAGGAATCAACACTCTCCTTCCACCAGGGATGGAGGGTTCCGGGAATCAAACTCTGGCTTGGCTGCAAGGGCCTTTAACCTCTGAGCGGCTTCACCAGCCCCCAAGTAGCGCTTTCTTAAGCCATTGTTTGGGTTGCTATTCAGCTGAGATACCTGCTACCTTTTTTCTCTCTTAGCTTTCCCCACAGCCATATCAAGGTGGTATGGCGGCTCTGTTGAAAAGGGTGAGTCCTCTTAGGCTGTGCCACCCTCAAACACAGCACCCACCTGTGGCAGGTCCAGCTCATTCCTTCTGGGCCTTCTGAGTTGCATCCAGCAGGGAGGAGGGAAGAGAGGGAGAGGGTACTTGTTTAGTCACACAGCCAAACCTTCCACAGAGGTGAACATTGTCGAATCTGTTAGTAAAGGGCTGGGGTACAGTGGATGTGATTCACATTTCTCTGCACAGTGATGATGGCGCGTGTCAGGTGCTCTGGATCTGGCTGCAGTTTTCACTCTCAGCTTCTCAAGTCGAGAGGCTTTGAAATCCTCAGCCCTGCACCAGCCCGTTCACACAGACGGGCGCCATCAGAGGAGATGCCTTGGCAGTGTGGGTGAACTTCCCTGGGACGGAACTCTAAGAGGACAGAAACCTGTAAAAGGTGAGACAAGGAGGAAGTGGCAGTGGGAGTCTAAGAAATGGTGGGGAATGGAAAACAAACCATAGACTAAGTGATGGCAGGCAAATCCAAGGCCACTCCGCTGGGCACATGTCCGGTTCCCAGCGGGAGGGACAAGCCATCTGCTTTCCCGCAGACCCTCGCTTCTGTGAAGCTCTCGGTGTGGGCATTTAAACAAGCAGTGGTGGAGCAGAGGAAACTGGCCAGTGAGGAGATAGTAAATACTGAGGTACTGATAACCAAGGGCCAGGTTATTCTGACCAGCGTTCATTCTGAAAATAGCGCGGAGGGGGGGGGGGGGCGCTATGTACTCAAGCACTCAGAGTAGCAAAGAAAGGCCTCAATCCAGAAGGAAACTCAAAGAGGCACACCCCGTGTCCCGAGCGCAGGTTTCTGGTAGTGTCTGCTAATTCTGACAGAAGGGCTCACAAAACTCCCCTTAGTTCCCAGGATGGGGGGTGGGGGGTGCAGGGAGGGAAGCTGGAGACCAGGTATGCCGGGTAAGGGCCGCTGGTGAAAGCCCTCTGCACCGGGTTGAGAACATAGCTGAAGCAGGGTGAGACCGAAGCAGAGGAGGCCTCTGCCGGGACTGGAGGGAGGCTTGGTATTGAGAGCTCCCTCTCCATAACGAAAGTCCACGAGAGTATACAGCAGTGACAGCTAGAGTTCAGAAGGTCAACCTATCAGAACCAAGGGTTCTGTTAGAGGAAACCGTCACACAAGCCTTACGGAATTACTGCCTTTTGAATGAACTGGCTGTCTCTTGTAAACTTCTTGTGCAATAACAGCTATGAGTCTCCCCATTTACCGTGCATCTCCATGTATGTGTACATGTAATCCCACAATTGCATCTCAATCTTGGGTACAACTTGCCCTATACATTTGGGGTAATTGCATAACTGTCCCCATCTGTGTTTATTTTTCATTAACATATATCTGGCCAGGGCCATTCTCCAGACACCTTAGGGTTCTACCAATCTCTAATTGAACCAAGGTGCCTCAGGAATTCCAGTTCCCATGACCTCTGGTCATAGTCTTTTTAAAAGATTTATTTATTTATTGTGTATACTGTGTTCTGCCTGCATGTATCCCTGCAGGCCAGAAGAGGGCACCATATCTCATTCTAGATGGTTGGGAGCCACCATGTGGTTCCTGGGAATTGAACTCAGGACCTCTGGAAGAACAGCCAGTGCTCTTAACCGTTGAGCCATCTCTCTAGCCCCTACTTAATATTATTATTATTTTTTAATTTGTATGAGTGTTTGCTCGTATATGTGTCTGTGCCCCACATGTGTGCTTGGCACCCACACTGGCCAAAGAGGCTATTAGGATCACTAAGGACTGGAATTACAGGTGGTTGTGAGCAGCCGGATGTGGGTGCTAGGAATTGAATCTGGGTCCTCTGGAAAGCAGCCAGTGCTCTTAACCACTGAGTCATCTCTCCAGCTCCCCAGAAATCTTAAGTCTGTTCTGAAGGAATATGGCAATTCTCCTTGGCCTCAGATTGTGTCTTCATTTTGCCTCTCCCATGCTCAATACACGATGACTGTGACCCAGGCAGAGCCAGCCAACCACGGTGGGTCTCCTGCAGCCTAGCAATAGGACAGCATAGCACTGTGTGAGAGAGTTGCTGAAATCTGAACCTGAATTGTTTTTCTTTTTTTCCTGTGGTGATGGGAAACCTAGGTCCTCACACACACTTGCTAAGTACTTGTACATACACTCCCATCCCCTTGAATCTTTTTAATTATTTTGAGACAGAGTTTCACTATGCAGCCCAGGCTGTCCTGGAACTCACTAGAGCATGCTGGCCTGGAACTCAGAGATCTGCTTGTATCTGCCTCCTGAGTGCTGGGATTAAAGGCTCCATGTTCTGCTGAAGTATGTGTGTGTGTGTGTGTGTGTGTGTGTGTGTGTGTGTGTGTACTTGTACATGTCTGTGTATGAGAAGGTCAGAGGGGTGTTGAATCCCTGCAGCTAAGGTTACAGGCAGTTGTGGGCTGCCTGATGTGGGAACTGGGAACCCAATTCAGGTCCTCTGCAAGAGCAGTATGTACTCTTAATCACTGAGCCATCTCTCTAGTCCCAGAATTTTTTTAGCAACTGATATACACATAATTTCATGTGCATGGGTGTTTTGCCTGCCTGTATGTCTGTGCACCCTGTGTATGCCTGGTGCCCAAGGAAGACAGAAGAAATCAAATCCTTTGGAACTGTAGTTACATCCAGTTGTGAGGGTACAGAGAGCCCACCCAGGTCTTCTGGAAGAGCAAACAATGCTCTTAAGTGCCAAGCCATCTCTCCAGCCCCTGATTTGTGGGGTTTTTTTTTTGTTTGTTTGTTGCTCTCCCTTTTTGAAAATCTATTATTGGGGGCTGGAGAGATGGCTCAGCAATTAAGAGCACTGGCTGCTCTTCTAAAGGTTCTGGGTTCAATTCCCAGCATCCACATGGTGGCTCACAACCATCTGTAATGAGATCTGGCGCCCTCTTCTGACCTGCAGGCATACATGCAGGCAGAACACTGTACTAAGTAAATAAATCTTAAAAAAAAAAAAAAAAAAAGAAAGGGTGGAAGGGAGGGAGGGAGGGAGGGAAGGAGGGAGGGAGGGAGGGAGGGAGGGAGGGAGGGAGGAAAGAAAGAAAGAAAGAAAGAAAGAAAGAAAGAAAGAAAGAAAGAAAGAAAGAAAGAAAGAAAGAAAGAAAGAATCTATAATGGGGGCTGGAGAGATGGCTCAGCACTTAAGAGCACTGGCTGCTCTTCCACTGGACCTGTGTTTGATTTCCACCACGCACATAGTGCCTCACAACCGTCTGGAATCCAGTTACAGGGAATCTCATGTCCTCTTCTGGCCTCTACAGGAATGTGGCGCACAGAAATACATACAGGCAAAATGTTTTTATGAATAAAAACAAATGCAATCTTTTATTTTTAATCCCTTTGGAAAACAAAACAAAAATCCTAAGGCAGCCGTATCTGTCCATGCCTGGAGTGCCAGACACTGGAAACCAAGGCAGGATGATGATCCTGCCAGATAACACAGTGAAACATACTCTAGGGTCGGGGGTGAGGAGCTGCGCCCAAGACTAGCATACCCCGAGCATCATCTACTTGGGAGGCTAGAGCAAAAGGATAGGGAATTAACGATATCTTTAGATATGCCATGAGTTCAAGGCCAGTCTGGGCAAATTCACCCTTACACAAAATAGAAGCTAAAAGAGTGCTGAAGAGATACCTCAGCTGATGGGGGCTTACCCAGCAAGCACAGGATCACCATTTCAAACCTCAATACCATGCTCTAATGGAATCCTGACTTGACACATGCTGAGGAGTGCAGTAGTAAAATTTTGTGGTTTTGTAATTAAACCATGTTGTTTCCATAAGAGCAAAACAACGTCATATGTACAGTCAAAACACTGCAGTTCACAACATACAACAGTACCCGGTCAGAGCCGAGGTGTGTGAGACAGTGTTTGTGGTTCTGTGGGGCAATGACAGGTGTCCAGCAAACTGCACGTGGTGGGTGTGCAGACCTCAGGGAAGTTGCGTAAGGCAAGGCAGCTGAGCGCTGCCACAAGGTCCTGAATGCATGCTGCATCTTTGGTTAGTGGGAGTCCAGAAACTTTTCAAGGCCCAGCGTGTGAAAAGTCGGGGTCTAATACATACCAGGCCCTGGGTTTGATGCCCAGCACCCCAAAGAAAAAGAACTCCATTGGTCTCATGTAAGATTTCTATAAAAAACTTGCAGTAGGCACCGTAATTAGGAGGAGATGCTGAAATGCTTCCTCTGAACCCCCACAATGAGGAGAGGCCGGCTTCTGTTCCCCCTCTTCTGCACAACAAGAGGAGTCAGGCTGGTGTTCTGAGGCAGATAGACAGACCGAAACTTCTTAGAGGCTTTTTCCTGTGGGATTCAGAAAGACAGGAAATAAGACTCAAGAGATGAGTAAACCAGGGTGATGGCAGCTCTCTTCAGCTTGCGAATCCCCGATTTCTCCTTCCCAGAATGGAAACAAGGTGAAAGCAGACAGAACCGCCCATCGAGATAACGCTTGGGGCTAGGCTGGGGATGTCACTCCACGGTATAGCATTTGCCTGGCGTGTGTAAGGCTCTGGGTGTGATCACCAGCATGGAGAAGAGGAAGAGGAGGAAAGGCGGATGCTGGAGAGATGGAGAGACGGCTCAATGGGTAAGAGCATTAGCTGCTCTTGCAAAGGACCTGGGTCCAGTTCCCAACACTCACACAGTGACTCATAATCATTTATAACTCCAGTTCTAGGGGATCTGACGCCCTTTTCTGGCCTCCTCAGGAACTGCATGCATATGGTGCACATACACATATGCAGACAAAACACTCATACATATAAAAACAAATAAATCTTTGAAGAAGAGGAGAAGAAAGAATACCCAATAAGGCTTGGATTGCATGTTAGAGCAAAAAGAGGCCTTGTCCTTTCCACTCACTGTTGTGAAACAGTGCTCGAGAGGCCTTGGAGGGTTTGAGCCAAGGAAACACACCATGTGAGCGGTGGCCAAGAAGGCATGGTGGAAAGTTACTCACACCATGCAGGCATGGCATCCACATGGAAAGTTTTATTATTAAAGGGGAAAGGGAGAAGGGAAGGGAGAAAGGGAGGAGAGAGAGAGCATGGAGGTGTGCACCTTGCAGAGATAGAGAGAGGGAGAGAGAGACAGGAAGGAGGAGGAGGAGAGTTTTTTCCTCTTAATGGAGGCTTTATGTAAGAAGATATCAGGACGCTGGGTGGGTCCCCAAGGGGAAGTTCAGAATGCTAACACTCACAAGAATCACACTCCAGAGAGAAAAAACAAGCTCCCAAGACCCTCCTGCTGCTCACTGGCCATTTTTCCCTCTTTGGTCAGAAATATGAGCAGATATTACATCAGCTGCAAGTGATCCTAGCTGCCGGTAGCTACTCTGCCACAAGAGACGGAGTCTCCGGACCTGAGAATCCATCCATGGGGAAGCAAAATGCATCAGCACTGCACAGCGCTGCAGCCTGCCCCGTGGCGCACCTGTGCCCTGATGACATCACAGGCAGGATGCAGGGGCTGGCTGCATCTGAATTGTGACATCAGCAAAACCTGGGCCATCCTCAAAGAAAGGGCATCTGGATAGGAAAACCATGAAACAGCAGCCACAGGGAAAAGTAAGAAGGTGGCAATCATCAGTCCCCAGGTAGGACACGAGGTGACAGATGGGGGACACTCTCAGCAGCTGGTGAGTGAGGTTCAGGCCAGGTCTTGGTACCTGAGTATCTGTGGGTCTTTCCTTCTTGGCATAGGACAGCAACTATCGGACTCTCGCTGACATGCCGAAGGTCTCACGTGAGTTCAAGTTTCTGACCTCCCCTCCTGAGTACCAAGGAAATGGCCCCTTCCCCATGTCACCCTGTCCTTCCTTCTGCCCTTTCTCTGCCTTATCCCTAACTGAGGCTGAGACCAGGAGATAGGATTCTCATGTCCAACCCCATGGAAACTGGCTGATGATACAGCCCTGGTACCCCATGGTCAGGCAGCCGCTTCTGAGAGAAAAATGCTGTGAAAAGGAGCAGGCCCATGGCGTAAAGACCATGTCCCTGGTGTGCAAGACCATGTCCCTGGTGCAAAGGGACATGCCCTGCTCCCCGCCCCTGCTATGCCTGGATTTTTCTCTGTCTTCTCAGGATCAGGGCAGGACCAAGTCCCCTTGCAGCTCCCTTCCCAGTCCTCCAGAGCTTCCCAAATGCAGTTCCTGATGAGCAACAGCAGTCAATGCATGTTGGAAGAACAAGTCCTCTGTCCCATTTGCCTGGAGGTGTTCCGAAACCCCGTCACCACCGCCTGTGGCCATAACTTCTGCATGACTTGCCTCCAGAGTTTCTGGGACCACCAGGCTGCCATCGGGGAGACATACTATTGTCCCCAGTGCAGAGAGACCTTTCCCACTAGGCCCCGCCTCTGCAAGAATGTCATCCTTGGGGAGATGGTGGCTTGCTTCACCCAGGCCAAGGGCCAGACCTCAGGGCCCTTGTGGAACCTGGCTGGCCCCACAGACGTGCCCTGTGACTTCTGCTCCCCACAAAAGCTGAGGTCAGTCAAGTCATGCTTGCAATGCATGGCTTCCTTATGCGAGAAACACCTGCGCAGCCACTTTGAGGACCAGTTGTTCCAGGACCACCAGCTGCTGGAGCCCGTGTGGGACCTCAAGAACCGCTTGTGCCGTAAACACCGCAAGCTGCCGCAGCTATACTGCCGCACAGAGGGCAGCTGCGTGTGTGGAACCTGCCTGCTGGAGGAGCACAAGAACCATGACACCACCCCGCTGGAGGATGAACGGGCCCGCAAGGAGGTGCGGAGGGGTGAGGAGGAGGGTGCTCCAGGTTCTCGGAGGCTGGCACATTTCCCTGGAGGAAGGGAACACAGCTCGACCCAGGCTTAACAGCACCAAATACTTGAGATTCGAAGGCAGGCGTTTGAGAGCCCAGGCAACGTAAGCGACAGGAGAACCCGTCTCAAAAGACAGATAGGCTGGGTCTGTGAAATGGGTCAGAGGGTAAAGGTGCTTTCTATCCTGATGATCTAAGTTCCATCCTCAAAACCTGCATTTAAGTGCAAGGAGAGCTGGTTGTGATGATGCATGCCTTTAATGCCACCATTTGGGAAGTAGAGGCCAGCCTGGTCTACATAGTGAATTTCAGGACAGCCAGAGAGCTACATAGAGAGACTATGTCTCAAAAAAAAGGTCTTGTGGTGGTGGTGCACACCTTTAATCCCAGCACTTGAGAGGCAGAGGCAGGCAGATCTCTGAGTTTGAAGCCAGCCTGGTCTACAGAGAGAGTTCCAGGTCAGCCAGGGCTACGGAGAGAAACCCTATCTCAAAAAAAAAAAAAAAGAGTGAAAAAAAGATGAGCCCTGACATCCATACGTGAGCCTTGGCACGCACACATGCCCCACAGTAATAAGTTTTCTAAGTTAGGCAGCTGCTAGCATGACGAGTCGTGTTACAGCACAGGAAGGAGGTGAGGTTAACAAGGAGAGTGCAGAACTGCACGTCAGAAGTCTCCGTCTATAGTGAACAAGATGGTGACGGGGTGGGAAAGGTTGCTTACAGCCGTCTCCATTAAAGATGTATCCAGGAAACCCCTGTGACTTGCTTCTCTCAAGAAGCCACAGAAAGGGCAGCTGGGGAGATGGCTCAGCAGCTAAGAGCACTGGCTGCTCTTCTAGAGGACCTGGGTTTGATTCCCAGCACCCACATGGCGGCTCACAGCTGTAACTCCAGTTCCAGGGGGACCAGAAGCCCTCTTATGTGCATGCAGGAAAAACATCCATGCATATAAAATAACAGATAAAATGTTTAAAAAAATAACTCCTCGGAAGAGACATCAGTTCCTTCCTAGCTCTTCCCGTGGTCTTCCTTTAGTTTTCGCTGAAGCAGTCTTCCCTACCCTTCACCGTGTCTAGTTCACTAGAGGAAACCCTGTGACCACTTCATTAAGCAACACTCCTAGGACCCTATGTGCTTGTGTTCACTGCAGTCTTGAGAGAGGGAGGTGAAGGCTCTCACGGCTGGCACAGCTTCTGAGAAATGAGCCTTCCAACAGGTTGCGCAGGAACAGGTTATTGTGAAAGTAAAAACAAGCATTAAAAAAAAAAGTTTATTTCAACATTATCAAGATTTAAACACAATGCATACACCCCTGTAATCTGTTTCCAACCCTCAGGAGGCTGAAACAGGAAGATGGCTTTGAGTTTAAGGTTAGCCTGGTCTACATAGCTAGTTTCAAGCCAACTAGGCCTACAGAGTGGGACCCCATTTCAGCGGTTAAAAGTCCTGGGTTCTGTTCCCGATACTGACATGGTGGCTTACATCTCCACAGCCAGCAGGCACACACAGGGTGCACAGACATTACATCTAGGTAAAAACACCCATACACATAAAAAATGATAATCAAATAAAACAAAAACTGGGCATACCAGAAGCACTAGCCCTTAAATGGCTTAGGCAAAAGGACCCCAAGTTCAAGGTCAGCCTGAACTTTTACGGGCTACATAAAATAAACTCTGCCACCCCCAAATAAAAACCAGACTGGGGAACTGGCTCAGTAAGTAAAGTGCTTGTTTTTATAGGCGTGAGAACCTGAGCTCAGCCCCCATGTACCAACAGCCAGGCATGGTGGTACACTGGAGATGCAGAGGCTCGCCGGCTGGCTAGTCTAGCTGAATCAATGAGCTGTTCAGTGAGAGACCCTGCTACAGAAAAAGAGGGGGGAGGGCTGGAGAGAGATGCAGCACTCAAGAACACTGTCCTCACAGAGGACCTGGGTTCAGCTCCTGGCACCATAACCTCTGTAACTCCAGTTCCAGATCTGACACCATGCATGCATGCAAGCATGCTCGCACGCACACACGCACGCACACACGCACGCACGCACACTCACATGTGGTGTATCTGCATGCATGCAGGCAAAACACCCATACACATACAATGAATGTATTTATTGGTTTTTCAAGACAGGATTTCTCTGTGTAGCCCTGGCTGTCCTGGAACTCACTCTGTAGACCAGGCTGGCCTCGAACTCACAGAGATCCGCCTGGCTCTGTCTCACAGCATTTTTTTTTTTTTTTTAAGAAAGAAAATACAGCAGCAAGTGATTGAGGGAAATACCTAATGTTGGCCTCTGGTTTCCACATATACATGCACCTGTGCACACAAGTAGACTCACACACAAACACATGTGTATACACACACACAAAAAAAAACATGTGTATACATACACACACACACACACACACACACACACACACACACACACACACACACACTGCAGCTTAAGGTAACTTCCTCTCCTCTTTCTTCTGTTCCTACCAGCCCCTTCCTCTCAAGGGCAGGGTCTCCAGTAGCCCAGTCTGGTCTTGAACTCCCTATAAGGTTGAAGATACTCCTGTCTACACTTCCTCAGCACCTGATTTTTTGCTCTTCTGCTTTTGAATTTTAATATGTATGTATTTTTTTAAAGACGTGAGCTCCTTAGATTTTAGCTAGTCCATCAGGTACATTCGATAGCCCTGCTGTCCTCACATAACCAACCATCATCAGTCTGGTAAGAACAGGAATTTGGCCGGGCGGTGGCGGCGCACGCCTTTAATCCCAGCACTTGGGAGGCAGAGGCAGACAGATCTCTGTGAATTTGAGGCCAGCCTGGTCTACAAAGCAAGTTCCAGGAAAGGCGCAAAGCTATACACAGAGAAACCCTGTCTTGAAAAACCAAAAAAAAAAAAAAAAAAAAAAAAAAAAAAAAAAAAAAAAGAACAGGAACTTACATCAGAAAAACAAAAGCAATGGCATCACTGAACACATAATTTAGTTCAACTGACCGCTGTTTCACTGTGAGCCTCTCAAAAGAAGGAAGCCCTGCCTGGACTTACAGGTTGGCCAGCACCATCTTCCCTACAGGAACTTGCCAAAGCACTATTCTCCCTGTTCTAATACAAGTACCTGTGGGCGAATGGAGCTAAGCAGCATGGCCCCGGTACCCAGGAGTGTGGTTTCACCACTTCCTACCTAGCTCAAGCCATTGAACCCTTCCCAGCACCTTCCTGTGTCCTGAAGTCCTGTGCTCATCACTTTTAGGAGCAAAGAAACTGATTCCTATGAATGAGGAAGCAGATTCTGAGGCAGTGAAAGAACAAAAGTGTTGCTGTGTGTCACGACACAGGTGTGTGGGTTCACACGGATCCGTGGAAAGAAGACTCAGAGGCATCTTAAGAATGAATCTAGCCTTTCATGGCTGCAAGGGGGTCCAGCCTTGAAGGACTGAAGCACTATCCCTTTGCCTAGGGCATTTTTATTTCTTTCTGTTTACGGTTTAGCCAGTTAATCTCCTTACCTTCAAAGCAACCTAAAAGGAGCTCCCAGAGACAAAATGCCAAGTGCAAATTACTTGATTTCTCAGGTACCACAATTTTCCCGGGTTTCCTGAACCAAGTTTTGCATAGGCCTTTGATCCTTGGGAGACTCTCTGATCCTTGACTCTCAGACAAGACTCACATAGGGCGATAAGAGAAACAAAAAGTGTGGTTAAACAAAGAAAGGATTAGGGCTAGGTGCTACTTTCTGGAGCCAGGCCAGGAGCTCAGCAGGAATGCACTACACAAAAGCCAGCATAAATGACAGGACATCTGCCCTTCAGCCCTGGTCTTAGGCTCACAGAAGCCTGTGAATACAAGGGGTTTATCTCTTCCTGGATTGGCTCTTCCTCTGCCCCTCACTCGCTTCTGCCCTACCACCACACGTTCCAGGTGGAAGTTCGGAAGATTCAGGCCAATGTGGAAAACCAGATGCTCATCATCGCCTCTGACAGCCAGAAGCACCAGGGACGAGTAAGCTTTCTCTCGGTAAGGCAGTAAGGCGTCCTGATAGCTCATGGGACCTCCCAGAAACTGCATGGGATCATGGGGAGGGAGGGGATGCCTGCCTTGGTTTTGGACCAGGAGAGTTGGGTGTAGGATTGGAATTCAGGGATGTCCCCCTACACACCCACCCCAGAAACTGATTCAGACAGTGCGAGATGAGGTGAACAACTGCTTCTCAGAGATCCTTCATGAGATTAAACAGCTGCAGATAAAGGTCTTGGATTTTGTGGAGAAAGAGGAAGCGACTGCCCTGAGAAAGCTGGGCAACTCTATCCAGCAAAGCCACAGCCGGCTCCTCAAGTTGGAGGGGGACAGCGTCTGGCTCCAGAGCCTGCTCACCAACAGGAGCGATGAGCAGTTCCTACAGGCAAGACCCCTCTTCCCTCCACGACAGACACACACACACACACACACACACACACACACACACACACACACACACACATATACACATACATATACACACACACATACACACACACACATACACACACACACACACATACACACATACACACACACACATACACACACACACACACACACACACACACACACACACACACACACACACACACACATGGATGTACCCAGACCTGGGACAAAGTGATCAGGGTGTGAATCTGCATTGCCTTGCCCACTTCTCTGACTGGGAGAGCCCCAGGTCAGCATCCTGAGCTCTCACCAACACCCGCTGCTTTTCCTGTACTGCCTGCAGAGATCAGTTCTCTCCCTTCACTTCCCTGCTTTTGAGTCCCAGGAGAAGATGGGGAGTGCCCTAGGACTCAGTGTATGTAAAATAATCCCCCCCAAAACCACAGCCAGAAGTGAGGTCAAGCCAGTCTATGTATTGAAATTCATTTTCCTCCCTAGCCATGGTCTGATGTTACTGCAAGGTCGGGGTGGGAGGTGAATGTAGGGATGGGGAAGTGCCAGGCAGGGTGGCTGACCAGATAGTGGCAGCGACTTTCTCTATGCACAGGGACCAAGCCCTATTACTGGGACCTCCTAACATGGATCTCCTTCCTTAAATTGCCCTCATACTCCTGGACAGATGTCAAAGATCATTCCTCCCTTGTCCATCTCTGGACAACAGGATGAACTTGGCAATGATCTTTCTGAGCAAGTAAAGGTTCAACTGAATTCCTCCAGCTGTTTTCTCCAGCAGCCAGACCACCATCAACACCCTATCCAAACAACTAGGAGGAGACAGACGCTCACATTTGAAAATGGGCAACATCTCTTCCACATGCCCATGGAGGTGCCCCTGGCAGGTGCCTGAGCCGTGGCTACAGGGGTACTAGCTGCCCCTTTCTGCATAACAGGACTTCCCCAGACTCAAGCACATCCCGGCCTGCATGGAACCCTTGATGGGCGCCAACTGTGAGGAGACACAGAGCTTCCTTCAGCTGCCAGAGACCCTGGCCCAGCTCCGCATCCGGCTGATGGACATAGGTCGTAGCTTCATCAACCAGCTGCTCTTGAAGGGTCAGTCTCTGAGAAGTCTGCGTCTTGTCGCTTGGGAGTGGCACCTCCCCACGGGGCAGTGACTGTGGAGCCCTGCCTGCCTGTGTGCACCCCTCCCAGGTCACATGGGCTCTGGGATTGGCCAAGCCCCTCTCAGGAAGGATGCTGGGATGTAAGGGGGTCCTCAGCAAAGCTTCTCCATCCCCCCAGGCATCAAGATAAACTGCTATGAGGTGCTGCCCGGAGCTGTGGACAGGAAAACACTACTCCAGCGTGAGTTCTCAAACCAGAGGCCAACCTGGGGGAGGGGGAAAGGAGAGGGACCCCTGGGGGCTGTGCCTTCCCTGCCCCACCTGCTTCCGAAGCACCTCCTTTTCTCTTTCCTGACCTCTCACTGCAGACTGGGGACCTCAGACTTAGCCTGGGCTCAAGACCCTGATAGGAAGAGAGAGAGAGAGAGCCTGTCTGTTTCTACCTCAAAGGCAGCTCTTCTGTGGCTGGGGGATTAGTCAAGTCAACTGGAGTAGGCCTTATTTATTCCTCCAACTCCAGGTTTGATGTCCCTATAGGCCCTTTCCCTGGCCTTGGCCCTAGGACCAAATCCCAAGGCTTCTGAGATATTGAGGGTCAGATAGGGAACACCTTTGACCTGTGGGTCATCTCGGCCAGGAACCCTTTGCCCTCCTCCAGTCTCATTCCTGAACAAATAAGGAAGGTGATTATGTTAGGAATCTTTGGGGGGAGGGGGTTGGGGGAGTTGCCCAGGGTCTTACTCCTCCATGCTGTCTGGTACAGCCTCACCTGAGTTGGGCTTTCTTTTGGGCAGGGTGGGGGGTTGGAGACAGGGTTTCTCGGTGTAGTCCTGGCTGTCCTGGAACTCACTCTGTAAACCAGGCTGGCTCGAACTCAGAGATTCACCTGCCTCTGCCTCCCAAGAGCGGGCTAAACTGAGCTATTTTAAGGAGTAGTGTGGCGGCTCATGTCTGTAATCTGGCACTGGGGAGGCTGAGGCAGGGCAGCAGCATCAAGTTCAAGGTCACCCTGGGCTAAGCTGGGCTCAGAAGCACAAAAATAAAATAAATAAAAATAAACCAGTAGGTAGAGAGGGTGCCACTTCTAGGAACCTGGGCTGGAAGCGGGCTGGAAGCAGTCTGAGTCCTTTGTAACTAACTGCTCCTTGCTAGCACCCTGCCCCGGGAACAATAACCCTGGCTCCCTTGTGCCTTCATCCCCCACCGCAGGTTACTGCAACCTGAACTTCGACCCCGCCACGGCCAACGAGGAGCTGTTCTTGTTCAAGGAAACGCACTCAGTGTTGAACTTGGGCATCCTGCTGGAGCCCTCGAGCACCAACACCCCTTTAGTGGGCTTCAAGCAGTGGCCCCAGGTGCTGTGCTGCCCGGGCCTGTCCGAGGGCTGTCACTACTGGGAGGCCGAGGTGTCCAACTCGTGGATGTGCCTGGGTGTCACCTACCGCCACAGCCCTCCGCTGCTGGGCAGTCGCTCACGTCGCAACGTCGTCTACCTGCTGGGCCGCAACCCCTACTCGTGGTGTCTGGAGTGGGACTCGCTCAGGTTCTCCGTGTGGCACAACAACACGCAGACGGTGCTGCATGGCTGCTACCACCACACGCTCGGCGTGGAGCTGGACTTCGGCGCCGGCTGCCTGTCCTTCTACGGCCTGGCCGGCGGCGTGAGCCTGCTCTACCGCTTCCTCACCTCCTTCCTGGAGCCCCTGTACCCCGCGGTCATGGTCAGCAGCGGGGCCTCGCTCACACTCAAGCAGTACCCCGAGGCATAGGCAGCGCCCGCCCGCCGGCCCAGGCTGGCTGCCAATAAAGTTAGACTCTACTACGTACTGGCTGAGCAGGAGTGCTGAGAGGGTGGTGGGCCCTGGTGTGCTCCCCTGCGCCCAGGATAGAAGTGGGTGCCCACCTGCTTCCCAGCCAAGTCTGGACGCCATCTGTCGCCTGCCTGGAAAGTTGACCTGAACCAGACTGGAGGTGCCCTAGGGATGGGGATAGCCTATGTCCTTCAGAAACCAAAATCCTGCTTTACGCACTACCCGCTCCCTACTCCGTCGGCAACCCTTGGCCTTGCTTCTCAGGCTCATACTTGTCGCTCCCCACTGTCTTCAAAGGCTGTGAAGCCTCAGACTAGGCAAGACTTAAGCCAAGCGGCTTCTCTCTCCAGGTGGCCCATCTGTGAAGTGAGTGACCCTGGAGAGTTGGTCAGAGTTCTAGCTTATCTGGGGACCGGAAGGTTAGGGCTGAGGAGCCCAGCCCTGTCTTAGATGCAGGACCAGTGGGCCGACGGAGGTCCAGGTGAGAGGTGGTGGGCAGAGCAGCTGACCTCACTAGAGCAGAGTGTCTCCAGTCAGTGGTGGTTGGCAGCACAGAGGGCTATGGATGGGGGCGGGGGCAATCTATACCTCCCACCCTCATCTTCATGATTTGTGTGAGAGCGGTTCCCTGCCCCCCACCCTGATGAGCCCACTCCACTCACCGGCTGTGGACACCCAGGCTTTTGTAATCTATCTTGCCCAATGAGAGGCCTGGAATTCTGTACAGTGTAGCTTCATCCAAGGCCAGTACAGGCTCCTGCTAAGGGACCCTGCCACCCCCTGCCCCCCAAGTCGAGGGTTCCTGTCCATTAGGAAAGCACTCTGAATTTCCAGACTCAGCCAGCCACAGTTCCTACTGGTTTAAAGAAAGGCCTCCACCAAGTTAATGATCCACGAACTGATAAAGGTCATAAGAAAGAGAAAAGCCCCTAGGGCAAGGCAGCTGACAGCCAGACTAGGCGGTACCCCACCACGAGGGCACTTGGGAATTCAACCCCTGCCCTGCCTGTACCCAGAGAAATTAGTAACCCTGTTTTCTCCTTGAGGCACCCCTTTCGGGGTGAGGAGAGCAATGTCGTGCTTTGAAGGTCTCCAGAGGTGCCGTCCTGTGACAGAGAGGTAGTCTTTCTACCTGGAGTCTTGTCTCAGCCCCTGACTTATTTCCCATGGGCTGCTGTTCCTGTAGGGGGCAAGGCTATGAAACTCTTCCTCTGTATTGAGGAGAGAGGCTTTCCTTATGCCTAAGGCCTCGATCATGCCTTCCCACCTGACTGTCATTCCCCCTGGATCAGGAAGAGAGCCAGCAGGACATGTGGTGGATCACACCTGTAATTCTAGCATTCAGGAGGCTGAGGCAGGAGGATTGCTGCTTCCTGTAGGGAGCTGCTTTGCCAACGCCTCCACCCCCACCCCCCAGATCGCTAGGACATGTAGCTACAGGGTGGTGTGTGAGAAGCCATGGTACCCTGGGACACACATCCGAAAATTTGTATCTTTTACTTTCTTAAACAGTTGTTCTTCATTTGGGGATTCCTTATTTGGGGACTCTGTATTTGGGGACTCCATGTGTTATCACTAGAGGGAGTGTCCTCAAGCCAGTAAAACAAAATGTTGAGGTCCCTTTGGCCATAGCTTAGCACACCACTTCACAGAAGAACATGTCTCAGAGGGTAAAAATCATATTGGAGGAAATGGGCCTTCTAATTTCTTCCATGTGGTCGGTACACATGATACAGGTACCCACCTGAGGATGTCACTCCGTGGGAGAGCGCTTTCCTGGCGTGCTCAACACCCTGGGTTCAACCTCCAGCACAGCAAAAAATCACTGTGCGTGAATTATACTGTATCCAGTAGGGAAGTGTGACTATATTAATGTCAATTGAGCTCTGTATCATAGAAGGGGACTCACAGTGCGCTGAGGTCGGCAAGAGTTCTAGAATGACTGTGTCTTCCTCCCACGCCATTCCCACTCCAGGTGAAGAAGCCAGGGTGGGAACTCACTCTGGAATGCCACCTACACCTTTAAATTCTCCAGTTCCTGCTCTCAGACTTGGTAAATTTCTTTGATGGAGAGGGAGATACAAAAGTTAGGGCTTAGCTTTACCCCACCCCACACAGGCCCTACCCCTGAGCTGCATCTGTCGGGGGGTGAGTTTCTAATGGGAATCTTTGGTTTGGGTTGGTTTTACATGTTTTGCTTCATCTTGTTTTGAAACAGGCTCTCATTATGTAATAAGGCTGACCTCCAAGTCAGTGTGGCTGAAACTGGCCTTGACCTCCTGCCGCTCCCCTCCCCTAGTGCTGAGTGTGGGGTGACCAAGTTTACCACTACATGCTGTGGTGCCAGATGTCTTTAATCACGGTAGTCAGGAAGCTGAGGCCAACCTGGTCTACAAGCCTGTCAGGGCTAAATAGATCTTGTTGGAGAAAAAGAAAGAGAGAGAGAAGCCCGGCGGTGGTGGCGCACGCCTTTAATCCCAGCACTCGGAAGGCAGAGCCAGGCGGATCTCTGTGAGTTCGAGGCCAGCCTGGGCTACCAAGTAAGTTCCAGGAAAAGGCGCAAAGCTACACAGAGAAACCCTGTCTCAAAAAAAAAAAAAAAAAAAGAGAGAGAGAGAGAGAGAAGAAAGAAAGAAAGGAAGAAGAAAAGAAAGAGTAGAATCCCTAGGTTACTTCATTTTTAGGAGTGTTTGGTGGGCAGGGATAGAGAGATGGCTCAGTGGTTAAGAGCACTATGCTTCCTGCTTTTCCAGAGGCCCTGAGTTCAGTTCCCAGCACCCATGTTGCTTGGCTCATGAAAGCCAGTAACACCGACTCCTGGGAATTCCACACTCTGAGGTCACCTGCACCCCTGTACACACACACACACTTGTTAAAACAATAAAAATTTTTAAAAAGAAAAAGGCTTTTCACCGGGCGGTGGCGGCTCACACCTTTAATCTGAGCACTTGGGAGGCAGAGGCAGATGGATCTCCGTGAGTTCGAGGCCAGCCTGGGTTACAGAGTGAGTTCCAGGACAGCCAGGGTTACACAGAGAAACCCTGTCTCAAAAAAAAAATGTTTTTCATATTCTGTATTATCCCATATAAAAAGATTGGCCGGATGTGGCAGCACATGCTTTTAATCCCAACTTTTGGGAGACAGAGGCAGGTTGATGTCTGTGAGTTTGAGGCCAAGCTGACCTACATAAGTTCAGAACAGCCAGGGCTGAACAGTCTAGATAGATAGATAGATAGACAGACAGACAGACAGACAGATAGATAGCTTTATTTAAATTACCATTTATGTGTGTCTGTGTGTGTGTGCACACACCATGGTACAAGTGTGGAGGTCAGAGCACAGTTTGCCTGAGTTGGTTCTACGCTTCCATCTTGTGGGTCCTGGGGATCAAACCCAGGTCATCAGACTTGGCAGGAAGTACATCTACCTGCTGAGCCAACTCATCAGCCAAGGAATTCTGCTTTTAAGGAACACTTGCCTAGTGCCAGCCATGTTTCTAGAAAATGAAGAGCATATTAGCATTTAATCCTCATAGCATATTAATCACCCCCATAGCACAATGAGGAAACTGAGGGATGAGAGGTTAGGAGGACTGCCCAAGGTCACACAGACAAAGTGCTTGGGAAGCCTAGACTCAAACCCAAGCAGTCTACCCTTTGTTTTGTTGTGTTGTGTTGTGTTGTGTTGAGACAGGGTTTCTCTGTGTAGTCCTGTCTATCCTGGAATTCACTCTGCAGACGAACTCAGAGATCTTCCCACCTCCGTCTCCCAAGTGCTGGGATTAAAGGCATGTGCCACCACCCCCAACAGGGCATTGTTTTTGTAATGTTACTTCAAGTTTGGCCAGAGTCAAGGGTCCAAGAAGGGCCAAGAGATGCTATTGGCATCCCATCATCCCATTCCCATAGATAGACAAAGGGAGGGAGTTGAGACCAGAAGGCCACAGCCTGGAATAGAGCCCTTCACCCATCCCTCCACCAAAGGAGCAGGCTGGCTATTCAGGATGCCCTGGTTGAGGTCCTTCCTGGCACGTTGGGCACTCCAGAGCATTATAAAGTCTCTGTCGCACTTTTCCTAGAAGGAAATCTGGGAGAGGACATGCACCAGTTCAGGAGAACTGGGGCTGCCTTCATCCTGCCCCGAGGGCCAGTCCTCTACCCCTAGCCCTTGGCTGTTCCTCTGAACATCAGTCTCTGGCAGCTTCACTGACCTTCCTCACCACCCCACACTCATCCCCACTCCTTGTTTCCTCCCAAAGCATCTCACCTCCTGGCTTTTGCCAATACCTCTCTCTGCCTGGAGCATCCTTCCACACCCACACTCATACCTGTCTTATTCCTGCTCATTCCTTGGGACACAGCTAATTGAGTTCCAGGGAGCTGGTCTTGAACTCTGTACTAAGCCAGGTGCTGCCTCTTTTCTGCATCCATAACACCCTCTGTACAATGTCCCTCCTGCGCACACTCTACATTAGACTTCATGTGTGACTTCACCAGGCTTAGGTTATCTGGGTATCACACCTTTGTGTCTCTGGTGTTTAATGCATGTCTGATGGTTGTGGAATAATTTTGTACACTGAAGATGTGTCACTCATATTGGTTTAATAAAAAGCTGAACGGCCAATAGCTAGGCAGGGTTTTCGGGGCAGAGAGGATGCTGAGAAGAAGAAGGGGGATATGCTAGGACACAGAGCAAGCAGTATGGACATTACAAAGTAAAGGTAACCAAGACAGGTAAAAGAAAATAGATTAGAAGATATAGGTTAATTTAAGTTATAAGAGATAGTTAGAAACAAGCCTAAGCTATTGGCCAAGCTTTCATAAATTAATAATAAGTCTCCATGTTGTGATTTGGGAGCTGGCAGGCATGACAGTGAAAGACTTGTAACAAAGGAGCATCCTTCAATGGCATCCAACATGGAGTCATGTATTTCCACGTAAAACCTGAGAAAGTTTTTTTAAAAAGGTTCCAAACACAAAAACAGAGCCAAACTCAGCTTCATAGTCCTGCAGTCTCTCATGAAGGCCTCAGTACAGAGACGCATCTCCCGGCCACTGCCTGCAGAGTTGAGTCACTAACAGGCCATTAGCTAAGCTGCTTGGCAGTTTAAGTTTTGTTCATGCAGACAGAAAAGGTTATAGATACACAGTAAAGCAAACCCAGACAGGAAGAACCTCTAAATAGGTTATAGTGTTTTTTTGTTTTTTTTTTTTTTTTTTTTGGTTTTTTTCGAGACAGGGTTTCTCTGTAGTTTTGCGCCTTTCCTGGAACTCACTTTGTAGACCAGGCTGGCCTCGAACTCACAGAGATCCGCCTGGCTCTGCCTCCCGAGTGCTGGGATTAAAGGCGTGCGCCACCACCGCCCGGCAGGTTATAGTGTT